CGAGCGCTGCGGGATTAGCGTTAATGCGAGGGATCGTATAGGAGAATTACGCATAGAAAAGAGCTTACATTTCCGTGGGCAATTGGGCAGAGCAGCGGCGCTTGCTGCGCCCACCTCCTTATCCAGCCGCCAGCAAACCCGGGCGGCTCGTCCCCACCGCGGTGAATTTAGGCCGGCTTTAAGGCTCGGCTTGCCCGGTGCCCAGGAGGCTCCGCTCGGGCTCCCAAAAGGGACCTTTTATTCAGGCGAACGGGCGGCCTCGGCGCTCCGCTTTCGCCCTCAGCGCGAGCCGCTTTCGGGAAGGAGCAAAGCCGCAAAGAGACAGAAATATCAATAGAAAAAATGGGGAAAAGAGAGAAAAAATAAAGAGGATTGCTCCCTGCATGAGAGAGCAGACGGGAGCCGCGCGCCCGACAGCCTCCTACCTGCCCGCGTCTCCGGTTCGTCCCCCATTTCTCCCCAGCCGAGCCGAGCGTTTGCTGCGTGCTGCAGGCCAAAAAAACCGCCCAAACGCCCCCAAAACTTTCCTCCTTTATCCACTGCGGCTTGCTAAACTCCCAGGCTTAAGGAGCAGATTATAGAGCCTCTAAAGCACTTTCCTCTCCCTCGGGCTGGCATGCCGCGGACTTGCCAAATCGGACGAGGTGCGGAGCGGAGGTGAGCGCTCCGGGCACGCGTGGCCGGGAGGAGGGAGCGGGCGAGGGGAGGGAGGCAGAGGAAGGTGGAGGGAAAGCAGAGCACAGCTTTAGGGCTCTGGAAACAAATTTTCATTTGTTTCCAAATTTTCATTGAAAATTTTCTTCTTTTTCCCCAAATTTTCATTGAAAATTCTCTTTTCCCCCCAAATTTTCATTGAAAATTCTCTTTTCCCCCCAAATTTTCATTGAAAATTCTCTTTTCCCCCAAATTTTCATTGAAAATTCTCTTTTTTCCAATTTTTCATTGAAAATTCTCTTTTTTCCAATTTTTCATTGAAAATTTTCATTTGTTTTGAAATTTTCATTGCAAATTTGTTTCCTTTTTGGGGGACTTTCCTTCCCTGAACACCCCCCCCATCCCCCCCGAATTTTAGCCAAGCTGCCCTCAGGCTTTGCCCCCAAGGCTCTGCGGGGTGGTTTTCCCTTGGGATAAGCCTCCTGCTTGAGGAATGCCGGGAGTCAGGCCTTGGAAAGGACCCGGCATTGCCCGGCACAAGCAAACACATCCCCAGCCATTCCCGGGCTCCTGGTCAATGCTTTTCCCACCGGAGCCGCGGGTTGTCGGCACCACAAGAAACGCCCGCTGCGAATCCATGCAAAAGATGGGAAAAATCCTTTCGCTCCATTGGGAAAAGCAATCCCGGCGGCGGGGGGAGCACGAGGCGGACACGTCTCCGCTCTGCAAAATGTTAATCTTTGCTAAGGAGATTTAAGGGAACTGACCCAAGCCCGGGCTAAGAGCCTGCCGGGAACAAGGTGTGATGCCCGGAGGCACATGCGCCCTGGCTGCGATTCAGGTGCCAAACACCCCAATTTGGGTGCCAAATGCCCCAATTCGGGTGCCAAACACCCCAATTTGGGTGCCAAATGCCCCAATTCGGGTGCCAAACCCCGCAATTCGGGTGCCAAATTCGGGAGCCAAACACCCCAATTTGGGTGCCAAATGCCCCAATTCGGGTGCCAAGCCCCGCAATTCGGGTGCCAAGCCCCGCAATTCGGGTGCCAAATTTGGGTGCCAAACCCCGCAATTCGGGTGCCAAACCCCGCAATTTGGGTGCCAAACCCCGCAAATCACATTATTTTTCCGGCTGTAATTCGGGTGCAAGCCCCGTCGTCCCCCGGCCAGGGGGGACACTCACTGGTCCTGCTGGCGTTGTCGTTGCCGCTCTCGTAGCCGAGGTGGCCGCCGCCGCCGTCGTCGGTGTCGGAGCGCTCGGGCCGCTCGTAGGGCCGCTCGCGGCCGTCGCGGCTGGCGGCGGAGCGGCGTCGCCGCCGCTTCCTGCGGTAGCCCCGCGGCACCGGCACGCCGATGTAGATGGAGTGGTAATCTGGGAGAGGGGAGAGGGATCCCGTGGGGGGCTGCAGAGCGGAGCCCCCGCCGGCGCCGCGAAGGCTTCGCTCACCTTCCTCATCCTCGTAGCGCCGCCGGGAGCTGCTGAGACCCCGCTCGCTCATCGCGTCCTCGTCCTCCATGGCAGCCCTGGGGCTGGGAGCGGCGCCGGCGAGGGGGGAAACAGAGGGAAGAGCAGATTTGGGGCAAAATCACCTCTTTTTCCTTCCCAAATTAACCAAAACCTGCAATATCCCGCGCGCTTCTCTACGCAAGCCCTGCAATGCTCCAGCAAAGGGATGGATCCCGGGATTAGGGCGTTTGCAACCGCTTCCCGTCGCCCGCTCCCAGCTCCCTGCTGCTAATTAGGTGCCTAACGAGCTGCCCCGCGGCCCTTGCCTTTCACACTCGACTGGGGCGGCGGGACGGGCACCGCTGGCGGCAGCCGGGTCGATGGCGCCCAAAGTCACTTTGAGGCCGGCCGCCCGCGCCGCCTCGTCCCTCCGCTGTAAGATAGGAAACTAAAGGATATTTCCAAAGGAAAATCATTAGATTAACCCGGCTGACCCAGCTGGTGGGACGCGGCTGCGCCGGCAAGAAAGAGCAGAGCTCCCGTGCTTTGATTTTGTGGGTAGAGCTGCTGGAGTCTTCGCCAAAAAGGCCAGCGAGCATCCAAGGGAGCAGTTGGGAGGCCAGCCTGGGAAAAGCCTGCAGAAGAAGCGATAGAAAGCATCAAAACGAGAGAGAAACTGCACACGTTTCCTTTCTCCCTGCTTTCCCCATCAAAAAAACCACAGCAAACACCCTAAAACAACCTGTAAATGGATAAAATGTCACAAATCCCCCCAAAACTCCACCAGGGAGGTGGTTCTGCCCTTGAGATGTCCCTCCCTGCAGCAGGAGGGACATTTGGAGCAAGCCAAGACCCAGAAGCCGCAGCAATAAACTGGGAGACACAGGGCACTAACAACTCCCCCTGAGTTGTTCTGCACTCAAAACGCCCCATTTCTTTCCTTTTTTTTTTTTTCCTCCTCAATTTTTGCCCATTTTCCCCACAATTTGGGAGGGCAAATGGCCTTTGCACGGTGCTGCGCGCAGCATCGCTTGCAGCCGGAGCTGAGCAAAGCTCGCCAGCCCTCACGGACGCGCTAATATTATTTAGGCGGCTCCAGGAGAGCATCAGCATCCATCAGAAAGCTCCTGGGGTCTTCAGAGAGCCAGGTCACCCCTTAGCGGGTGCCAACTGCCTTTTGACAAGGGCTGCACACTCATTATCGTGTGTTCTCCCCTAATTATCGTGCTTTTCCCCCCAAATATGTGCATTTCCCTCCAACTATTGTGCATTTTCCCCCAAATACTGTGCATTTCCCCCAAATACTGTGCATTTTCCATTAAGTATTGTGCATTTCCCCCCAAATATTGCGCATTTCCCCCCAAATATTGCGCATTTCCCCCCAAATATTGCGCATTTCCCCCCAAATATTGCGCATTTTCGTCCCGAATAAAGCATCGTAGAACGACCTTCAGGAAAAGCAGGCCCTTCAGCTGCACGTGCTGCAGCGTGGGGGTCCGGTGCTTCCATAGGGCTGGCTACAGCCTGCAAAAAAGATGGGAAAACACAGGAATCGGCCTCAAAAAGGAGCCCCGTGCTGCTGCCGCTGCCGGGCTGGCCGCGTGCGCCGGCGCTCCGGCGTTCCCGCTTGGCCGAGTCCATTTCATGCCCGGCTTGTGCCGGCCCTGCTTCTCCTTTTAGCGGGAGCCGTCGATAACGCCGGCACCGAAGCGGCAGCTCCCGCGGCCGGGCGGAACGGGGAAGCCGGATTTCGCACGTAAAGGCCATTGGGAAAGGTTAGGTTATAGGTTACGTAATAATTTTAATAATTTGGCTGCCCGGCCCCTGTCCAGAGCCGTTTCTCCCAGGGTTGCAGGGAGCTGCAGCAATTTCCAGTGCAATTTAGCACTGCAATTTAGTGCATTTTGCTGCTGCCAGCAGGAACCTCTCAGCATCCCCTTGCATTTTACCCCCTCATTGGAAACGTTTGCAAATGAGGGGAAAAAAAGCAGTTTTGGAGGGCGCGGGTGCCTTGCTCATGCAGTTTATGCTCTCGCTTTAATCCAGCACGTCCCCCATAGGTGACAGTGTTGGCAAAATAAGTATAGGACCCATTTGGGAGGCTGCCTCACCTCTAATTCCCCTCGGTTTGGCACAAGAGCCTGGATCTCCGACACGGGCGCGTGCCCACAGGATGGCAGTAAATCCACGCCGTTTTCCCTTGCAGAGCTAGCGCTGCTGTCACCTTTGTTGGTTCTCCAGGTGTTTGCAGAATAACATCCTCAGAGCAGCTGCGGGTCCCTGTTCTGCCAAAAAACCTGCCAAAAAACGCCCCAAAACCTGCAAAGCAGCACGCTCTGCACGGAGGAGTTTAATTCGCTTGCTTTTCTTTCCTTTTTATTTATTTTTTTACCAAAACCACACGTCTAGCATAGCAAAGCGCTGCAAGTCGCCCGCTGGCTTCCCGAAGCCGTTTCCCAATGAAGCAATCCCAATTCTGTGGGACCAGCAAGGACCGCTGCCTCCAGGCTCCTCTTCCACGGTATTGTCCGGAAAAACAACGTTTGCAGCCTCTTAAATCCACCTCCTCGGCGGAAGGCGGCATCTTGGTGCTCTGCACAGGGTGGGCTTGCAAAAGATGCATTTATTACATAAAAAACATAAAATAAGGGGTCACGGACAAATAAATGCTTCAAAGTGCAAAGGGTCCCACGGAGTCCCATGCCTGCTCAGCACTTTTTTCCCCCCCAAGGAAAAAAAAATTTTGCCTTTTTTTGCTTTTTCCCAAGGAATTCTGCTTTTCCCCCAGGGAATTCAGGAGAATCTGGGGAATTCTCCCAGAACGTCGCCCAACGCATCATGTGAACCTGAGCAAATCCCGCTGTGTCCAGCTGCTCCCGGCCGCCTCCTTCCTGCCGGCTCACACCTTGCTTTGGTGCCCGGTGCCTTCCTCCTCCTCCTCCTCCTCGGTGCCCACGGGGACGTAGCCCCCTTCCCGGGGGAGGCACCAGCACCAGCCGGCGCCCGTCAGGTCCAGGGTGGCCACGCTCAGATCCCGCAGCTCCAACCTCTTAAAATCCACCGTGTCCCGCCGGGAAAAGATCTCGTTGAGCTTCTGCCAGTAGAGCCAGGCCAGGACGAGGCCGAGGACCTAAGGACACATAGGCAAGAGGGGCGGGATGTATAGACAAGGCCATATAGGCACGGCGTCGAGCAGCAGCTTCCTTGGAAATAAGGGTTATTCCCGATAAGTGAACCCCGGTTGCTCTCCCACGCGCCTGCCTTGCAACAGGGAGGTTTGACCCACGATGGTTTCGCTGTGCGGGGCTGGAATGGACCGTTTTGGGGCGGATTCTGCTCATTTTGGGCTTGCTTTCAACTTGCAGCTTCTCAGTTTATAGCAAATCCACGTGGCACCCATAGGGGCAACCCGCTGCAGCAGCAGCAACGCGTCGCTTTGGGAGCTCAAAATCATTATCAGCAACTTCAGCTGCTCTTGAGCCATCAAATAACCCGTAGAGCGGGGCCAAAGCGCAAACAGCCGCGGTGCATCTTGACCTAGGGGCTGTTTTTCCTCCAAGGGGACGGAAAACTGGGCGTCAGCCTCCGGGCAAGCACAGATCCAAGGGAAGAGCAGCCAGGCCCTCCGGCTCCGACCCTCCGACAGCCGCCAAAACGTAAATCAGGGCAAATGGGATTGTGCTCGGTGATATTAAATGGTTGTGCTTTTAAGCAATTAAAAATATCCTTTTTTTTTTTTCCTTTTAAATAGCCTTTAAAGCCAACCTGGCGCTGGGGCCGTGCAAACCCGGCGCCCGCCCCGAGCCGCAGTGCAAGGAGGATTTGCGCCTTGGAGACGTTTAATGCCAACGGGTCCCGCTTCCACGGAAAGCAGCAGCCTCGGGAAAACAGGGAATGCTCTGTCAGGAGCATCCCGCCACAATGAACCTCTCCGGGGCTGCTCTCCTCCCCGCGCCACCTTTTTCCTGCTTAATGAAAATCTAAGCTGGCTGTCAGGAATATGGATGCCTTCAATATCACGGGATCCCAAGTGGGATCTGAAATCCTGCTGGGCGAATTGAGGAGAAATTCAGTTCCTCAGTTGAGGAGCTCCCGCTCGTTGGGTGCCCCGAAGGGGTCGGGGCGCCGCTGCCCGCTTGGGGCTCGTCCCTGCCGCTCTCCAAGCCTTTTCCATGGGATTTAAATGCACAGAGGGGAAAAGCTTGTCCAGGAGGTGCAGAAACCCGGGGCTTGCAGGAATAGCTTCCTTGCTGAAACAGATCCAAGGGCTTTTCTATCCCTATGGATGCAGATAGCGGCATCCGGGCACATCCCGCTGCTGTGCCCGGCTCAGCGCGTTGGGAGCCGTTAAATCCATATTGCGGTTGGCTGAGCAAGGGGGATTTAGGGGAAGGGTTGCACTTCCCATAGAGGGGTAAAAATCAGTTTACTCAGTGCTGTTGCTCTAACGCACGAAGGGCCAGTTGGTGTTTTGGGACCGGGCGAATGTTTTTAGGCTCAGACCCAAATTGCACCAAAGGAGAGGGTCAGCTCGTCAGCTTTAAGCTCAAGTCATCGAGTGGCCCCGATTGCTCTTTGGGATAAAGCATTTTTAAAGGGAAATCTCTTTTGGAAGGGGGAGAGAGGCAAGATCCAAAGAGCCTGGTGCTCCTGGCACCAACCTCCTTTCTTGCAGCAAATGCCGAGGCTGGGAAGGAGGCAATGCATGGAGAAAAAGCAATAATAATAATTTTAAAAAGCATTTCCAACCAGACACGTGGCGGAGGCAGCGCGAGCCCCGCGGCTTGCATGTTGAGGTGGCTGCAACGCTGGGTCGTGCAAAGCGGAATTGCTCAAGGGCTTCCAGCTCTCCCGGAGCTAATCGAGTAAGGGACGAGCATTTATCTCGCGGTGGCTCTTCCTCCCACAAATGGAGATTTATAGGCTGCACTCTTTGCAGAGGTCATCAAGTGCAAATGGAAAAATCCCTTCGATCTGCCCGCTCCGCTTCCCGCGGGAGCGCGGCCGGCACCACCGCGTGCGGAACGAAACCCCGCTGCAATCCCAAGCCCAAGTCCCAAAACAGGGGACTGGAAACCTTGGAGACGCCTCCGTGCAGGTTCCCCTGCTAACGATCCAAGAGGAGGCTGTCACCCCTCTGGAAGAGCTCCCTAAAGACAGATGGGAAAGGGAGCTCGGCTTTTCCGCGCTAACACCCGCTCGCTGACGGAGCCTCTGGGTCCCCTTGCAAGGCTGCTGGACCTCACGATGTTCACGCAGCTAAACGCTCTGCACAAACGTGCTGCAAAAACCCGGGGAAATCCTCCATCAGGGGTAAGAAGAAAGAACTAGCCCAGCTGCAGAGCAGAAAAAAATGAGGATTTTTGCTTCTTTGCAACGCACACAAATTGTCCAAGCAAAAAAGCAGCAACAGGCGGCTTCTTCCCCCGCATCTTGCATGCAAAAGCGAGGCGAATCCCCCCAAAACGCGGGGCCCTGCGGAGCTCGGGGCTCACCTGGGGCAGCAGCAGGGCGCAGGCGAGGGCCAGCGCGGCGGCCGCGTGGTCCCGCAGCCAGAGCCCCACGGCCGGGATGCAGCCGCGCACGTGGATGAGCTCCAGCAGCTCCAGGCGCTGCGGAAACAAGCGGGAAGAGGGGGGAAAAAACAGCCGAGCCCAACGGGTGCTGAGGGTCACCCACGTGTCTTGGGGCTGCGGCACCGAATCGGGCTGGAAAACAGCAAATCAGGCGGTGCCACGCAGCTAGGAATGACCCGGCTCAGATACATCGAGATACTCAGATATATAGATATATATATTTATATGCATCTCTCATATCTGATTTTTGATAGCAATTTTGATAAAGGTATTGATATAAAAGATATATCTTGATATATTTTTATATATATAAATATTTATATATCTTGATATATATAACCATATATATTTATTTATATATCAATATATATATCTTGATATATTTTAATATATATATTTATATATTATATAATGTATGTATTTTATATCTATTTTTATATATTTTTAAATATAAATAAATATATATATCTCAATATATAAGAACTCCCCAGCACGCCAACTTCTGGTTTTAGGTAATGCAGTGGGAGAAGTAGCTAGAAAGAAAATGTCACAACATCCCCCCCAAATTCGAGCGTATTAGGGTAAAAGACATAATAAAGGTGAAAGGCAGCACGGGTTTGCATGCAGAGACATCGCACGTGGCTAAGGGGGGAGCACACACACTAACTACCTCTTTATTGAGGGTCTGGTATCCGCACAGGGTGTTGGGCACTTCGCCGGGCACCTGCCAGGAGAGAAGTGCTGCACACTCAGGGAACTGAAGCAAAATTAAAGTTTCCCCTCAGTTTTCCTCTTTTTTTTTTTAAATTAATAAAAATGGACTTTTTTTTGTATGTATTTTAAAAAAAATACATGTCTTTATCTCAATGAGGGTATAAAGCAACGGGGCTGGGAGAGCTATATACAACATCACATTTTCCTTTCTGCAGGAAAAGAAGCAGGCAAAACCATTGGAAAAGTTAAAAAAAAAGAAAAAGAAAAAAGAAAGAAAGAAACAAACAAACAAACAAAAAGCAGTGGAGAAAGGCCAGATCTCAGCCACATCCCCTCCAACCATCCCCATTTTGGGGTCTTATCACCCCAAACCGTGGGGCAGCAGGGGGGAAAAAATGCCGGAAAAATAAAGCACTTCCCTCTCTGGAGCGTCCTCGGCGGAACAAAAAAAGGGCAAACACATGAATTTCTAATGCTGTCCTCGAGAGAGAGCAGAGGGCCCTAATCAGCCCTGATTAAAGGCAAGAAGCCCTTCCGTGGCTGATTTGCACCTCAGGCTCCCACTTGTCATTAACACTCCTCAGATTTCACCCCCTTTTTTTGTGTGTTTTTTTTAAAAATAAAAGAGCAACAACAAAAAAAAAGCTAAATTTTAAGTCATTCTATTTTCCATGCAACTCCAGGGAATTTTTGCCAGCAAATCCCCTTTGGCTGCAAACTTTCCCCAGCCGGAGCGCTTTTGGGGGGAGGAAGCAATTGCAATTAAGGGCGCCTTAATGCAATCGTTCTGCTCCGTGCAAAAGGCAGAGCCTAACCAAACACGGCGCGGGGAAGCCCAGCACCCCTTTCCTCCAGCTTTTGGGCCCTTTTTGCAGCGATTGTACCCCAATTTCTGCATGCTACCTTGCGCACGCAGCACGTGTAGGGCACCCCGCAGGCCAGCGGGCCGGTGCCGTTGCACGCGTGGTACAAATTCACCCGCCAGTCGCTGTACTCGTCCCCGCCGCAGCAGGAAAGCTGCAAAAAAAAAAAGGGAAAAACACCACAAAGAGCAAACCTGAGTGTCTGCAGCCCAATGGCACAGCCGCTCTTGCTGATCTAGCCCCCCTTTAGTGCCTTTAATGAATATTTTTCAGCTCCTTCAGGCTAAGGAAGACACCGGGAGGTGAGCGGGATTTCTCTTGACGCCTGGTTAAATTAGAGCTTGGCTCAAAGGCTGCTTTTTAGCTTGCGTTCAAGGAAAGGAAGGGGGAAAATAAAAGGCTTAAATGAAAGAGTCGCTTTCTGATCCTGCGGGATAAAAGCCGGGTTTTTATCCCGCCTGTCATCCCTTCTCTCCGTAAATAATTTGGGGCTCTGTCTTGGGTAAAAAAAAAATCTCCTTGCAGTAGGTGGGAGCTTGATAGCAACCTCCTTCACTATGCACTTACACACACACACACACACATATATATAGATATATATGCTCATATATCTATATATGTACCTATTGACTAACCAAGCATCCAGAGTAGGCGCCTAGGGGCAAACCCAAATAATTTGGGCTATAAAGCAAGATATCCCTGCTGGTGCTTTAAAGCATTTCTGATATGCAGCAAAGCGCCTGTTATTGCGGCTGATTTTCTGCTGAGGTTTAAAGCGCTGATCTAGGCGGAGGCAGCTCGGTCTCGCCTAAAGCACTGCTTGGTTTAAGGCTCTGATGGACCCTGCAACTCCCATGGCAACAAAAGGGGGCTCTGCAAAGGAGCAAAGCCTGGCTTAAATGCTTGAGGTTGGCTTGGGAAGCAAAACGGCATGTGCAGGGAGAACCAAGCCAGCCTAAAGCGAGCACCTTGTGTGTTTAATCCAGCCATAGAGAGGCTCGACTGCAATCCTTGCATCTTAGAATAAACGAATATATACTCACCCACATACATATATAAGTCCTTGAAGTATACATGGGTATTCAAGATATCTGCAGAACAGGCCTCCCCGCCTCAGCACTGACCTTTTCTTGCACAAAATCCAAGATGTTCTTGAAGTCGAGGTCGTCGTAATAGTGTCGAATGCCCTCTTGGATATTGGAGTGGAAAATCGCGTTCATCTGCGGCAGAGGGGAAAAAAGAGGAAGAATTTTTCCCCTATAACAAGAAAAACCAGAGCCGTTGAGGGGAGCATTCCCATCTTACAGGAGAGAAGCATTCAAGCACTCCCAGTGCTATTTAATGGGGTGCAAGGTTTATTTCTTGCTGTCTTGGCCATTCCCCACCCCAGCACAGCTGATCCGCGCTCACCTTGCTCTCAAAGGCGATCTGGGCGAGGATGAGGAGCAGCTGCGCGATGAAGAGCGCCAGGAGGATGTAGAAAAACTGCGTGGGAAAGAGCAGGGGGTTCGCGGTGGGAAAAATGCTATAAAATAGTGAGATTCAACCTGGGCCACGTGTCGGCATGGAGCTCCAGTGCTGTAATCCCAGGAGGCCTGGGCTGCTTTGCAAACGAGTGTGTGTGTTTGGGGTAAATCCATGGGATTTGGGCACGATGCGCTGCACCAGGTATCCTGGCGGGATGCCGGATCCCTCACCGGCTTCCATGGGGAACCACAGCAGGATGGACCATCCGTTTGTCCTGCCCAAGCCGCTTCTCCTGCCCGCTTGGACTCGACTCTTGTCCGAAGCCAAAGCAAGAGTGGGGAGCGGGTGGAAGCTGCTGGCCCCATAAAACCGCCTTGCTCCAAAGCGCCCGGATCCTGACCCAAACGATGCCTGGGAATCACGCCGGCTCCCCTAGCAGAAGCAGCCTATAGGATATGTGCTATAGAGATGCACGGATCATTATGTGCATGTCGGATGCACGCGTGCTGCCTGTGCACGGGTATGTGCTGATGTAGGTGCTGCACTTTGCACAGCAGAAATTTCCACCCTTTTCTCCCCCCTTCTTTTCAGGCAATTTATCCACCCTGGGGCACCAAGACCACGGGAGGGCAATAAATAAGCTGCTTTGGGGGCGTTTGGGGGACAATTTGCACCGCTAGCTGAGCTTTGCAAACCACTGCGGCCGAGAAACCTTCCAAACGGCTTCCCCAGCCAAAACCCCCTTACCGACCGATTAAATGCAACATCCCCGACGCCGATTAAATGCGCTCCCAGCCCAGCCCCTGAGCTCTGCTCTCGCGTTCCTTTTCCTACTAAATTTGCCCCGAGAGCAGCGAGCAGGGGGGGATTTGATCGGAAAGGCCGCCCGTCGGATATTAGAGGGGTAATTAAGGAAGCGCAAGCCCGCGGGCCAATTAGAGCCACGGCTCGGGCGCCGCCGGAGAGATGCGGAGATTAAAACCAAGATGCAATTGTGGCTCCCGCATCTTGCGGGGCCGATATTGGAATGATTCATCACGGCACGTGGAGCCGGTCGGCGCCTCCCGCGGCTGCTCCGTCTCCCCGAAACGTGGCAAAAGGAAGGGGAAAAATCAAAGGCAGCAGTCGGCACTGGCTGAAGGGAGAACGGGCGCCGTGCCGACACCCACGGCGTCTCCTCCAGCTGGTTATCAGCGCCAAGTGCCATCCCAGGAGCTGATTGAAGGCCTGGAAATGGTTTGTTTCGGGAGCCACAGGGCTTTATCCGGTGCAATCTTTTATCCCGTGCAATTTTTAGGAGCAGAGACGTTGCAGTGCTCGTTGGGGAGGAGGATGCTCTTCCTCGCCCCGGGCTCCCTGCGCGTGCAATAGGCCAGGGGCTGCACCAGGAAAATCCCGCTCTGGATTCGGATGTTGTTGCAAAACACAGTCACCGAAACGGTCTTTTCCAAGAGGTTTTCTAGGTAAATTCAGCAGGAAGTGGCTTTTTTTCCAGGCAGAGTGCCCCAATTTTTGCATGTGCAGGAATCAACCCGGGATATGGCACAAAGAGCCAAGATCCTGCAGCCAGACACCCCTTGGGATGGGAATAAAAATCCCCCTGGGCACTGTGGGACAAGGAGCAGGTTCCCCTTCCAGAATGTCTTGATTTTCCATGGATTTTCTGGTCTGACTTGAGCCAGACTGGGGAAAAGAGAGGATTAGAGGTGAATCACGAATATCAGCACGGAAAGAATAAAGGTAGGGTGAGAAATAAGACATTTGAAATAATTATCCTTCTCCCGAATAATCCCAGGCGGAACGAACGCAGCGCTGCAGCGCTTGGGGAGCACACAAAGAGAGAGATGAAGGGTGCTCTAGCAGCAATATAATTGCAGCTTTGGCAGGGGGAAAAGAACGTTTTCCAGGGCTTTATCCTGAAGGAAAAAGAGCATTTTCACAGTTGGGTAGAAGGAGAGGAAAAAAGAGGTTTCTAACCAGCGGTGACCCCAGGGCAAAACCAGGTGGCACCTGGAAAGAAGGCAACGGGTAGGGAACTGGGCTGCATGGGGTCTGACGGTGGGGAAGGCGTCGTGAGCGCTCCATGGGTGCGAGAGCAATGGGTGGGAATGCAGCGAGAGCGGCCGGGAGCAACCTGTGGAGGTTGCATTGGGGTGTGCGCCCTTCCCTTGGGGTTACAGCCCCCCGAAACGCCCCGAAAGCGCCCGGCGCGGAGCCCTTACCGCCCTGAGCAGCGCGCGGTTGTCCCGGAGGCTGCCCACAGTGCCCACGAAGGAGACGCCGAACACGGTGGCGCCGAGCAGCAGCAGCAGCACGGCCGGCGCCAGGAAGGTGCCCTCGAGCGTCTTGTGCCGCTGCCGCTCCGCCTCGGCGTACGCGCCCGCGCTCGCCATGGCCAAGCCCAGCAGCTGCAACGCCAAGCGCCCGACACGCACCAGACATCAGGAGCGGCCGGGAAAAGCTGCAGGAAAACAGCCCGTGCAGCCCCATTCCCACCCTGGAGCAGCGCGGTGTTCCCAGGGTCCGGAAAGGGCAGGTTTTCACCCCGATCCCATCACTATGGCACGGATCCAACGTCCGCTTTTCCACCCGCCAGAGGAGGGATTTGCAGGGCAGGAGGTCTGGGAGTTCCTCGCTTTTGCTGCTTTCCAAATGGTTTCCCTGCCCCTGCATCCCTGTGGATTTGCCCCAGCCCTCCAACCCTGCTGGCTCCATCCTTGATTTCCAGGCACCGTCCTGGTTGGGTTTTTTTAGAGATTATTTTTCTTTCCTGCTGCGTTGGGAGGCTATTTCTGGAGCATGATTAGCAGGCAGCTCGTTGCCCATCAATCAGCGGCTGCTTCCCAGCTCCATCACTTCCAAAAGCATCCAAATGTCCCGGAAAATGGAGTCGAGCCATTTTACAGGCAGTTGAGCTATTTGCAACTCAAATCAACCCTGTGGCTAATAATGAGCTTTTTAATCACCGTCATAACTCGAGTTTAAGCTCTGCACGCCAGGGCTGGGTCCAACTGAGCACTCTCTCACTGATGCAGCGGCCTGGGAAGCCCCCCGGGATGCAGCAGCAGTGGGGGGGGACGTTAATGCAGCCCCCCAAGCCCTCGTTGCGCTAATCAGGAGGAACCGCTCGCTTTTAATTAACGAATGCAGAGGCAAGGCGGGAACTGCTCGAGGGCTGCAGGTTCCCGCGGGGCAGCAAATTTGCCCAAGCCGGCTCATTCCCTCCCTCCTTGCGCCCCAGAGGGGCATTTAAAGGGGGTTTTTGGGGGATGGCACCCGCAGCACCTACCGAGAAGAGGGTGGCGTAGGTGGACAGGGTGAATTTGAGGCCGTAGTAGTAGAGGGGGGAATCTCTGCAGCCGCCGGTGCGGATCATGTCGGCTCGGCACCTCGGACTGGCACCGATCCCGGCGTCGATCCCGCCGTCGGGAGCCCGTGCGCCTGGGAAAAGTGCAAAGGAGAAGGAAGCAGGAAGGAAATAAGTTCCCAAAGAAGGTGAGGGAGGGCTGCGGTGCCCGCGGGCAGCGCCGCGCATCCGAGGCCGAGCCGGTGCCAGCGGCGCTGCGGGAAGGAGGGAACGCGGGCGAGAGGGTGTCCCCGCTGCACCACCCGCACCAATGCGCGGCCAGCACGCAGAAATTATAGAGATATACAGGTTGAATGAGTCTGAAAGCAAACCGGGAGTGCCAGGAGCACGTGCCGGGCTGCGGAGCGGATCAGCCGGAGGTGGAATGAGGAAGAAGTCCGGTTCCTGGCAGGAGGCTGCACCCGAGGGAGGAAAACCCCTAGGAACGAGTGGCAAAGGGGGGGAAAATCAACCCCACGTGTCCGTGCAGCTGCATTTGCCCAAGAGGAAGTATCGGAACGGGAAGAAGGGGCGCTTTCTGCGACGTCGCCTTTAATCATTAACAGATGACGGACAACGAGGCCCCAGCAATCATTAACTAGGGCCTTCGGCCTCGCCGCCGAGAGGGCTTTTGTGCCGCGCTCGGACGGCCTGGATGAGCACCCGGAAAGGGGAAAAAAGCGGGATTTGCAGCTTTTAGTGTGGGCTGCGGGGAGCCGAAGTGTGAGGAGGGAGCGGAGGGGGCAAGGGGCGGTCCTGCCCAAAGCAGCGCTCACTCCGGTTCTGCTCCACATGGCACTCGCTCCAGATCTGCTCCACGCGGCGTTCACTCCGGTTCTGCTCCCTGCAGTGCTCACTCCGGTTCTGCTCCCTGCAGCGCTCGCTCCGGTTCTACTCCAAGTGGTGCTCGCTCCAGATCTGCTCCACGCGGCGCTCACTCCGGTTCTGCTCCCTGCAGCGCTCGCTCCGGTTCTACTCCGGACCTTCCCGCCACGCGCTGCCGCAGGGAGCTCATCCCCCGTCCGCGCCGGGATGCAGCCGCAATTCCCTGGAGCAAAGCGGAGCCTGGACAAACTCCCGGCAGGGCTGTGCGCACGGCCGTGTGCCGAGGATGGAGCCGTCCCTGCTCCTCCGAGAGGCTCTGATCCAGCCCTTGGTGGGAACGCGACCACTTTGCTGCCGGGGAGCGCGCGGCTGCTCGTTTGCAACCGAACGCACGGCACGGCGTAAAGCCTGCTCCGCGGTGCTCCCCTGCCCACGCCAGAGCGGCTCCCGGCCTTCCCAGCGCTCCGGATTAAAGCTCCTCACCGCTGACAAGCTGGCCCTTCAATTCCCGAGCAGGCGGGGATTAAACCAGCGGAGCAAAGCGGAGCGCGAGGAGGATGGGAAGCCCAAGCAAGGGCAATTCGGGGCTTCCCGCGCGCCCAGGGTGCCGGGAATGCCGCGACCTTCCCTTAAATCCTACGGAGCTACACGGAGCCCCCGGCCGCAGCGCGTGGGGCTGCTGAGCAGGGAAAAATGCCCAGTGTCCCTGTTGTCATGGGGATTCCGATGGAGAGGCCGGGGAGCAGCCGGTTGTGCACGGGGCGCTCAGGTTCCTCCCGGCCACCCGCAGCTTCAGGCTGTCTCGGTCGCTCCTATCCCCAGCTTGACCGGCGGCTCCATCGGCTTAAAATCCCTGCAGAGACAGGACAGAGGATTTAGTCCGGGCTTTTTCTCCCCTCCCAGCTCAGCGAGGCCACAAAACGCGCCCAAATACTTGCCCAAAGCAGGCAAACCCGCTCCTTTTCGCACCTCTCCCGGCGCGCGGTCGGCAGCTGCTGCCTCTTCCCGTCTCCGCTTGCAATTTAGGTGGGCACGTGCCAAAAAAGCGCCCGCAAAAAACAGGTTTTGTCAGGCGGCGTGTTTGTAATTGCAAATTAAGGCTCCAAACAGAAGCTCCTCGGCTTTCGCTGCTCCCAGCCTCCTGCTTGTCCTTATTTATTTGTTCATAAATGGCAGCATTGTAAGGATCCGATCCCTGCAAAAGGTTAGTTACCCTCCGGGCATTTTGGGCCTGTTTTCCCCCTTTTCTTGCCCAGTGCAATAAGCTTTTAAGCCGTTTTTTTCTGCCTGCTCCCCCTGGCCCAAAATATTTTTTTAATATTTACTAAAAATAATAATTGTTATTATTTATAGTAATAGAATATTTATAATAATAGCATTATTATTGTTGTTGTTGTTATTATTATTTTGCATGTAACGCAGGGAGAGGGAATGTCTCCTGGCCTGGAGAAAGGCCGGGGGGCAGGAAGAACAAAGTGGGGGCCCAGACCCTTCTTCCAGGCCCAAGCCTCCGGAATTCCAGCCTGCAGGTCAAGATATTAAACCAAATTTGCGCATCCAAGAGCGCCCGAGGTGCGGGCACGCTCGGAAATCCGAGGAAAGGAGGAGATGGGCAGAGCAATGGGCACAGGGACGTGCTGCGCTTTGCTCTCCAAGAGGGGCGAGATGCGGGTTGAGGAGGGAAAGAACTAACCAGCCTCAAACTCCCCAAAATTCCTACTGCATCCCGTAAAAATAATCAAATAATAATAAAAAATAATCAAATAATGATAAAAAGGATGGAGGCAGCGTGAGAAAAACCTCCTTTGGAGCCCTCCTCGTGCGCTGGCGTTAATTACACCCTCCCCGTGCGATTCCCTTCGATCATTATCCATCCCAGCAGCCTTTCCCGTGCCGAAAACACGGGGAAATAATCGAGGTCTTTTCTATCTCCCGGCTGCGGGAGCTTTATCCGTGCTGACAGTTGTTGGAGCTGCTGCTGATGCAATTATCTAATCAGGCCCTTCCTCCGGCCGCCAGCGCGCCCTGAGGAAGAGGAGGCGGAGGCAGATCATCCTGCCCCGAACCCCTCAGCATCCCTGGAATGGGAGCCAAGCAGCGCAAAGGGGCAGGATTCCGAAGCACGGCTTTCCCGGAATATACGCTGGGGTTCCCGTTTCCCGGGATAAAGGCGGGGGAAGGGGGATGCGAAGGCAAAGGGTGGCTCCAGCATCGCTGCCGGCCTCCATCCCACTGCCAGCACATCCCACTGTTGCTTTTCTCCCCGTCAGAGCTTTTTGGGGCGGAAAAACGCTAAAAAGCGATTTTCAAGAGTGGCCGGAGAAGCGGGAAGGTGATGGCATCCCAAAAAAGGCGTTTTCCCGATTTCTTCCAATGCTTCCACTTCGTTTGCCACATCGTCCGCTCGGTATTCCCTTCCAGGGAGAAATAATAAATAAAAAATGAAAATAAAACAAATACCCATTTTTACCCATACACATTTGCGAAACCACCTCTTTCCCACTTAAAAAGAAGGTGGAAGCATCATGAATAAGTAAATGGAAACGATGCAGTTCTTACTTCTTTTCCTCTGTGCCATTTTAGCACCAGGGCTCATATTTTCGGGATGGTTCCCGTACCTCCGGCACAGCAGGAAGGCCTCGGGTGCAGCGGGGGGAAACTGAGGCCCGGAGCAACTCTGGATCCTGGTGGTACATGCGGAGCAGCCACTTTGCACTCTATTCCCGCTGAGAATTCCCCATTCCCTCCATTCCAACACTCCCGAGCGTCGCTTTGCACCTTTGGTTAAACTGCAGCGAGTCAATGCTGTCCTGCTCTGTTAATTCCCACGCGGTATCCGACTTTTCTCCTGCCCGGACACGACCTTAATTTCCTGCCTGGCTTCTCCCGAAAAATGGTTCTGCAAAAGGAAAAGATAAAAAGGTGGGAAAAGCTCCATGATTTCATTTCCAGCAGCAAGAGGCCACTCGAGCTCCCTGCTCGAGCTGCTGTCGCACCCTGTGGCGGCTCCTGGGATGAATCCTCAACTTGCCCATTCCCAGATGCTTTTTTGGGGAAAGAAGAGAGATCCAGAGGGCACAAGGGAGAGGGGAGCTTGCAGACGCCCTATTTCTGTGGCTAGTAGGGATATTTTATCCCTAAATTAATTACAAGCAGGAGCCTGAGGAAAATCTTCCCCTGGGGTCTTTGCAGGAAACCTGTGTGGACGGTTTCCAATTCCCAGCATCTCCTAGAGCCACGAGGAGATGTTTCCCTGGGCATCCAGGGGTGCTGGCGCCCTTGCACGGGGGAAGAGCCACGTAAACACCACACCAAAGCCGTGCAAAATCCAGCCCTGCGCCAGGGCCCAGGCCAAGGCCGGGCATTGGCTCCCCAAGGGCACTTGGCGCCGCCGGGAAGAGGCTTCGGGGCGTCCCGGAAAACATAACGGGAAGGCACAAGGTTAGCGGCCTCTGTGCCCCTTCCAAAGCCTTTTCCTTTGCTTCCCACGAGCCGCTGATAGGGAGAGAGGAAGGAAGGGCTTTGGCTGGGAGAGCCCGGCGCTCTTCCTGCACCTGGAAAAATCTCCCCCTTGGGATGCAATTCCCTGGAGAAAAGAGGTGCTGGAGCAGCTAAAAGCCTGCGGATCCTCCCGCTCCCTCCAACACCGACTACTCCATTTCAGGCATCGGTCTCAATTCCTTGCATGGCCGGTGCCGGGCTCTCCGAGATCACCTGCTTTATCCAACCGGGAAAACCAAGGCAGGGCTCCTGGCTGCCACCGCCCGGGCGGAATTTGAGGCGATGCTGCCATCGAGTGGTCCAGGAGCATCCACGGCATGGAGCGGGATGCGGGAAGCGCTCCAGGCTCCGGTGCCTTTGGGGGCCTTCGCTCCTTATTCATCGGGATGAAAACTCTCCGGCTGCTTTGCCGCGGAGCTGGGACGCGATCCAGCCCCGGGCTTGGCCGCGAAGCTGGAACGCAGGGAAGCAGAGCTCTCACCACCGGCTCAGCCCTCATCTTCCCATTTTGGAGCCTGTTTCCCGGGATGATCATTCCCGAGCGGTTTTGCAGCATCCCTCCGGCAAGCCGGTGGTAGAGGCTCGTTTTTAAGAGGAGGCTGCTTCTTTTTTAACCCTTCCCCGGCCGCTGGGATGGGAAAGGAAAAACCTGTGGGTTTTTCGGCGTTGCTGTCGGCGCACACATCCCCTTTTCCATCCGGTCGCCCCCGATGCTGCTCCGGCATCCGCAGCGGAACCCTGACGGAGCAGGTAAATCCCGGCTGATTCTTTGGAGGCGGGATGAAGCAGGGATCGGGTCCCGCTCGCTGGGGGTGGCGGCCGCCCTGGGGGCCCCCCCGGGCGGGGGGGGGGTCGGGGGAGGGTTCGGCGGCGGCTCCGCCCGCGCCGCTACAAAAGGAGCCGCCGCGGAGCCCCCCCCGCCCCGCCGCAACCGGCTCCGCTCCGCGGGGACGGCGGCACCGAACGGAACGGAACGGAACGGAACCGGGCGGGAGCCGCGTCCCGACCCAGGCGGCGGCTGCTCCGCCATCCGCGAGGGAACCGCGTCCCGAGGCGGCCGAGCCGAGCCGGGAAGGAGCCGCATCCCGCGGCGGCTCCGACCCCGCGCCACGAGCGACCCCGAAGCCGCGGCAACCGGCAGGGACCTGCGCCTGGATCCGGGAGAGATCCGAACCGGGAGGGACCTGCGCCTGGATCCCGGAGAGATCCGAACCGGGAGGGACCAGCGCCTGGATCCCGGAGAGATCCGAACCGGGAGGGACCAGCGCCTGGATCCCGGAGAGATCTGAACCGGGAGACATCCACATCCCAAACCGGGAGGGATCTGCACCTGAATCCGGGAGAGATCTGAAACGGGAGGCATCCACATCCAAAACCAGGAGAGATCTACGCCTGGATCCGGGAGAGATCCGAACCAGGAGGGATCTGCACCTGGATCGAGGAGGGAGACAACCCTGAACCAGGAGGGCTCTGCCCCCCAAGCCAGGAGGGAGCTGAACTGGGCAGGACCGGTGGCATCGCAGCCCGGGAGGACAGGACCCGCAGCAGCTCCTGCCTCCGCATCCCGCGGACACCCTGATCCCAGCGGCCGGGGCGGCAGCGCCATGGGCGACGCGGTGCCCCCCAACGCCTCGCTCAACGCCTCGGCCACCAACCAGTTCGTGCAGCCGCCCTGGCAGGTGGCCCTGTGGGCCACCGCGTACGCGCTGGTGGTGGCCGTGGCCGTGGTGGGCAACGCGGTGGTGATGTGGATCATCCTGGCGCACAAGCGCATGCGCACGGTCACCAACTACTTCCTGGTGAACCTGGCCTTCGCCGAGGCCTCCATGGCCGCCTTCAACACGGTGGTGAACTTCACCTACGCCGTGCACAACGAGTGGTACTACGGGCTGCTCTACTGCAAGTTCCACAACTTCTTCCCCATCGCCGCCGTCTTTGCCAGCATCTACTCCATGACGGCCATCGCCCTGGACAGGTGAGTGCCAGGGTGCGGCGCGTGGGTCCTCACCTGGGCGCCCCGCTTGCCCATCGCGGGGTTTCAGGATGGTGCCGTTAGATGCATCCCGCTCCGTGGCATTTCGGGTACCTGTTTCCTTCCCAGCGAGTGGGAATTCGCTTGCCCTCCCGCTCCTCTGAGAGCGAAATCTGGGCTTGGTGCGAAAACAAAATCATAGGATCATTATGGCTGGAAAAGAGCTTCAGGATCAGGCAGGCTCCCAACTGCTTCTGCCACTCCTGGCATTCCCCATGCAACATATTTTGGGATGACAGCTGAGCTGGGGGACAATCCCTCCTGCTCCTCAATCCCAGGTGAAATGTGCGCCGGGGATGCAGGGGGGTTTGGGCTGCTCTATGGGGGTCCATCTCGATCCCAGTGCGGATCCAGCCCCGGGGGACATCCCAGGGCTTGGGGACACATGGAGCTTGAGCCGGGGATGGTCCCGGGCAGGCGCTGAGGCCGGGCCCAGGGTGCAGGGTGCATCCCGAGGGCCTCACCGCCGCTCCAGGGGCGTTTGGAGGAGGCTGCAAGGAAAAAGCCTCTTTCGGGATACGGAGCTACAGAGCTGCCGCTCTGCTCACAACCCGGCTGCTTTTTGGGGTAGAAAGCTGGGAAAACGAGCGCGGTGCCAAGCTGGCCAAGCTGTTGCGGACTCGCGAGCTGCTAGCACCAGCGGGCATTAAAGCGGGAAGGCGCCAGGAAGGCCGGGAAGAGCAGGACCCTCCTCCGAGGGGCACTGGGCGCCCGGGCGGCAGGAGCAGCCGCCCCCTTCGCTGGCGGCTTGGGAACGCTTGGAGAAGCCCTCAGGAGAAGCAGCATTCCCAAACCCGCGCTCACCCTCCTCCCTTGGAAGCCTTTCATCCCAAGCACGAACTTGCTGCAAATACGAGTTTGGTTTTTTTCCTGAAATCCGGGACAATAGCGGGAAGTTTTGGCATCAAAGCTGGGAACAGCCGCTCCGGAAAGCGCCTTCTGATGCTGCTGCTCCTCATCCTGCACGAGAAGCTCTTTGGCACTGGCAAAACGGGTTGGATCCTTCCTTTTCAGGGGCATTTGGGACCGCTGGTGCCACATTCCCAAGCGGTTGTTAACAATGGATGATCATTGCCAGCAGGCCGGGAATACGGCGCAGGGCTCAGATAGTTGGGAAGCGGTTGGGAAAAACCAAGGCAGAGCTGAAGGAGCCCAAAGGGAGCTACCCCCATCCCAACTAGGAGTAGTTAAAGGAGCTTCTTGCTCACCTTGGGAATGCCAGCTCTCGAGGGAGGCAAAGGAAAGCTGCTAAAACCTCCTCCTCTTCCTCACCTTCCTCTCCTTCACTTCCATTTGGCCTCCCCTTGAAAAGGAGCCGAATGAGTCCCCGGATGCGCTGCGAGAAACACTTCCCTTTGCAGAAAAAGGAGGAAAAAAAAAAAATTCCCTGCCGGCTCTGCCAGGGAACGACGGATGTTTGGAAAGCGCCGGCAGCAGGGAGAGTAAATCTCCTTAATGGGGCGCCGGGAAGCGGGAGCCGCGGAACCCGCTGCCTTCGGAGGGGCCTTGGCCACGGACGGGCTCCCCAGGGAGCAGTTTGGGGAGTCCCGCACGCAATTTCGGGTGAAACGGAGCCAATTGTGGCGTGGTCCAGCCGGCTTCCCTGCTCCCCGCTGGCGGCCGCCAAGAGGGAACAGAGAGAAGGGGGAAAAAGCGGAAAACAGCCCCAAAATGCGGGCGTGGGGATAAGGAACCGAAGGAAGCCCGACGGGCTGCTAACTCGCTGCTGTGACAGCAAGAGGGATGGGATGGGGCTGGATCCAGTGCCAGGAGAGGGAAGACAGGCTGGGAATCTCATCCTGCTGGGAAGGGAAACCTCATGGACAAGAGGGGATCGGGGCTGGAGGCGCCTCTGCTGCCCCCGTTCCCTTTTGGCCTGAAACCTCCTGGAGGAGAGAGGGAAAAACGCGAGAGAGAGGAAAAGAAAACCAACAACCCCAAAAAGGAAGCAGTTATTAAAATGTTACATCAATTTTCATCTTAATGATACAATTGCTGTGTAATTAGGCGATATTTTCATAGGAAATAATGGCTAAATTATTTTCAGGACATGTTGCTGCATTTCCACCCGTCTCCAGCATCCTTACGGGCTCTGTTACCAGCCCAGACTCTCTTGATTACAATTTTATTTTTTAATGCTGGCACAATCCATGGCGGAGGGAACTATCATTATTCCCATTTTTTATTCCCAGTGGGCGGCCGAGCCTCCTTTTGGCCTCCTTTGGAGGCCGCGCCACACAACAGGTTTGCAAGGAGCCCCAAAATGGGATTCAGAGCTGCTTTTATCCCGACCTCATCCCACCCTAGCGCAGGCACCGCTCTTTTTAAGGCATATATATGCCTTATAATATAAGCCTGGAGGCTTATTTTGCCAGGCTCCCGTGGCCCTCCGAGTTCCCGTGCGCCTCGCCAGGAATCGGGTCCGCGATGTAAAACCGAGCTCTGGCTCAAGGTCGCAGCCTGAGCCCCTTCCCCAGCTCCCCTTTTCTCCAGCACTGCTCCAATTTTCCTGGAAATAGCCTCATTTTCCAGTCCTTACCTGCTTGAGCTGCCGGTTCAAGCATCGCCAGCCACTCGAGGGGGATAATTAGGCAGCAGCTTAGCTGGATTCTCCTTTGCAGAGGCTGATAAGGGCTGATAAGGGCCGCCACTCCCTTAGTGCATTCTCCTCCCATGCATTTCTACACAAAATCACACTCTCTTGTATTTATCCCTGCAAATGCATAAAAAAAAAAAAGGTGGCACAGAGCATATTTTCCATGCTTGGAGATGCTGCCTGGGGCCGTGGAGATCCGGCAGCATCCGGAGCGCTGTGAGGGCTCCCAGGTGCTCCGTGGGAAACGCTTCCCATGGGAAAGGGAGGCTCCTGGGAGCGCTGCCCGGCTCCGGAGCCGAGAGCTGGGGCAGGCTGAGGCCGCGGGGACGCGGCTTGGCTGCTGCTGCTCCGTTTGCAGGGGAGACGCTGCCGGCGGCTTCACGAGGCCGCTTTGCAGCCGAGTCGCCGTGCGCCCTGCACGGGGCTCCAGGGTCCCTCTTTGCAGGGCAGTTCCTCGGGGATCCCTGCAAAGAATAAAACAATAAAAATAAGAAAAGAGGGGTGGCTCACTGCGCTTTGCATTGCGCTGAGCGGCGCGATCCACCCAGGAGCCGCTGCGGAGCAGCCGCGGTGCAGGGCGGGCTGCAAGGAGGGCGGCTGAGCCCGCCGCGCCACGCGGCTCCTATGGATGCCATACATGGAGCTCCGTGTCCCGGCGCAGGTACATGGCCATCATCCACCCGCTGCGGCCCCGGCTCTCGGCCACGGCCACCAAGGTGGTCATCGGCGTCATCTGGCTCCTGGCCTTCCTGCTGGCCTTCCCGCAGGGCTACTACTCGGTGACGGCGGAGCTGCCGGGCCGCCTCGTGTGCCTGGTGGAGTGGCCGGAACACGACACCAACCTCTATGGGAAAACGTGAGTGGGAGCCGGGATGGGGCGCCGGGAGCCGGGGTGGGAAAAGCGGGATGCTGCTGCGGGAAAGGACCTGCCCGGCACAAACGTGGCCCCCCAAAATACCCGTTCGGCTGCTGGGAAGCTGCAGGAGGTGGCACGGGAAGGAATCCTTTGCCTGTTAAGGTGCTGCTTAATGATCCGTGGGGTTTCCAACAGCTCCTGCTGCTCCAGCAGCTGCTTCCCGCTTGGAGGCCGGGAAATCCGGCTGTTCCCCTCTGCGGTGGCCACGTGGAGGCTTAAATGTCGGGAGCTAAAGAGAGGGGGGAAACATCATGGAAAGAAGGTGCTTGTGAGCTCCATCCCCACGGAAAAAGTAACCTGGAGCTGGGCTAAAAAGGAGAAAAAGAGAAGCGGGGAGAGGAAATCCCTGCAATCCGGTCCCTTCTGCATCCCGGCTAATTGCAGCTATAATTAGCCTGGCACAGAGGGAAAGGGGCAGCCGGGAGCCTCACCCCCCGTAACATGCCTTTGGCCCCCTCTCTGCCCCGGATCATTTTACTGTCCCCAAAATAGAGTGCGGGAACAGGTGGCCCTTGTTAAACCCTGCGCTTCGCTCCGCCACCGAGCGCTTTTTCCAGCCCCCCCGCAGGGGTTTTGCTCGACCCCCGGGAGGAGGGAGCTGGATCCATCCCCGCAGCCCAAAACAGGGTTTTTCCTTTCCCACCGCGGGGGCAGCTGCAGAAGCGCGAGCCACGCGCGGCCCCTAATTGCGGAGCCGCCGAGGCGCCTCTTTAACGAGCAAAACACAAAGCAGCCCTGGAAAACCGGATTAGCGCCGGGGCGGGAGCGAGCGCGGCACCCGCCCCGCCGCCACATCGGCAAAATTCGCCTTTTCCCCCTCGCCCGGCTGCACTCGCAGGCTCCAAAGACGCTGCCAAAGGCACCAAGGGCAGAGCGGGCACCGGGCAAGGGGGCTGCGCTGCCCCCCGCGCCTCCTCCCCTGCGCTTGAGCTGGCTCCGGGAGCCAAAAACCTTGCCGGCTCTCCCAGCTCTATCCCAAGGAACGGGTCCGAGCGCTGCAGGCAGCAAATTTAACTTGTCCCCTTCCTGGGTTTGCAGTCTACTGCCTTTTATTTGCAGTTTATTGCCATTTACTGCCCCCCAACAGGGGAAAGCTTGGCCTTGAACGCGCTGCGCTTGGTTGCTCCTGGGTCTATGGCACATCCCAGGAGGACACCGGGGTGACAGTAGCCACGGGGATGAGGTTGGGCTGAAGGGATGGGCTCCTTCCTATGGGGAGGCCACATCCTCAAGCTCTTTGGGCGACCCAATGGCACCAAATTCCCTCCGTGACACTCGGCTCCCAGGCTGGGTTTTGCAGCCAGGGCACTCGAGAGGCGCCGTGTGTCGCAGGTACCACTTCTGCATGACCATCCTCATCTACGTGCTGCCGCTGCTGGTCATCGGCTGCGCCTACACCGCCGTGGGCATCACCCTGTGGGCGAGCGAGATCCCCGGAGACTCCTCCGACCGCTACCACGAGCAAGTGTCGGCCAAGAGGAAGGTGAGGCGCAGCGGACGCGGTGCATCCCGGGAAACCACGGCCAAATCCCAGGCCGGGGACTCACCTCCCTGCTGCTAACGGAGCAGAACGGCCACCCTGGCTTGGTTGGGACGTCGCCTGCTCGGTGGCAGTGGGGCTGGTGACTGCAGCGGTCCATGCCATGCCCCATGGGGGCAAGTGCCACCCGTCCCCACGCTGCCGGCTCTCCGGTGACGGGGCTCTTTCCCGCGCAGGTGGTGAAGATGATGATCATCGTGGTGTGCACCTTCGCCTTCTGCTGGCTGCCCTACCACGTCTACTTCACCCTGCAGTACTTCAACCCCGAGTGGTACCTGCAGAGGTTCATCCAGCAGGTCTACCTGGCCATCATGTGGCTCGCCATGAGCTCCACCATGTACAACCCCATCATCTACTGCTGCCTCAACGACAGGTGGGTCAGGAGCTCCGGCCCGGGGGGACAACCCCAGGCAGGGCCAAACGAGGGAGAAAAGCAGCTCCTGAGGGAGCTGGCAACGTCTCCTGTGGGCTCTGGGAGACGTTGGGGGGGATGTTCGGAAGGGGCAGGGGTGGGGGGGCGCCTGGTTTTGGGGTGGCAGCAGGGCGACGCGGCCGCTGTCCCCGCAGGTTCCGCGTGGGCTTCCAGCGCGCCTTCCGCTGGTGCCCGGGCGTGCGCGCCGCGCGCTACGAGGGCCTGGAGCTGCGCTCGGGCCGCGGCGCGCACGCGCAGAGCAGCGCGTACCGCGCGAGCCGCGCCGACACCACCGTGTCCTCGGCGCCCGCCGACGCCGACGAGGGCACCGCCGCCAAGCGCCTCTCCGCCGACGTCGCCTCCAACGGCTCCTCGCGCAGCGACTCCAAAACCGTCTCCGAAAGCTGCAGCTTCTACTCCAACACGCTCGCCTAGGCGCCCCGCGGCCCTTCCCCGCACCCCACGCTGCCCCTCGGGGACGTTTTTCCCGTCTCCCACCTCCAATCCCAACAGGGAGCCGGGGAAAAATCCCCTTGGATTAATTTTGGGCAGTTTCCTCACGGATCCTCTGCGAAAACAAGGAGATTTGTTGGCCAAGCTCTTCCATCCTCCCCCTCCTCCAGGCTGCATATCCCCATGGACATAATCCAGCGGGAAAATATCCTTCACCTTTGCGGGCCACCAAGGTTTCCGCAGGGGTTCGGACACAACCCAGAGTTTGGTTGCTGTCTCCCAGTTGTACGTGCCAAAAATATAATCACTTGTCTCCTAAAAGCCCCAAAGCGGCGGAGCTCGCACAGGATCTGGAAGCCTGGAGGGGTCTGAAAGAGAAGAGATGAGACCCAAACACGTCCGGCCAGCCCAAAACATCAATAGCCACCCAGAAACGGGGACACAACACATTTATTTGGTTTTCCCAAGGACTTTATGTCTTTTCCATCTGCTTTGCCTAAAACCTTTGCACGGGGGTATTGAAGCTGATGGTTGCTGTGATTTGGTTTCCTTCCCACCAAGCACAACCCTTTTGCTGCAGACTGTTTCCAATCACCCTGGTTATCCCAAGCTGGCACCGTTACACGTGTTGGCACTCTGGCTGGATCGGGAATTTTGCCACGTGTCCAGGGTTGCGTCTTTGGGGAACATCAACAAGAAACGAAGGCAGCAGCCTAGGGAGCCAAAACCATTTTATCACGTGCTGGGACTTTGTTTCCCCATGGAAAACCCTTGGGATCCTTCCTCGAGCAGCCTCAACGCAGCCCGCGCAGCCTCCTGGACACACGACTCAAAAGAGGAGGAAAAAAGGGAAAAATAGAGGTGGACAAACCTGGTTTGTTGGGAACCAAACCACAAGCATTTGGGCTTTTTGGCTTTTATTTTTCCAAAGCACGTCCGTTGTTTCAGCAGGAGCGATTCTGCTACGAGCAAGGGCAGCACATCCCTAATATTTTTGCTGGGTTTAGCTCCGATTGGAGGTCCGGCCTCCGCGCGGTGGCTGCTGCCGCGGGAGCCGCCGGCACCGTCTCTCCTTCCTTGGGCTGGGAAAAAAAGAAGAAGAAATAACCTCTGCTCCAGGACTTTCCCCCTCCCTGCACGTGCCAAGCTGCCAGCTGTAACGCAGAGGCTTTTTTTCCAGCTTTCCGAAGCCCATTTCCCTGCTTTGCTCCCAGCTTTCTGATGAGAAAGGCACCTGCAAAGCCAGGCAATTTCCTCCTCCCTTTCCTGGCTCTGGGAAAAGCACAGGATAGCGGGCGGCAGCAGAGGGAGCACCCGCTACCACCCACCGAAATAACGGGGCATGTCCCTGCTGCTGCAGCGAGCGCAAAGAAGCCCAAACCACCGCAGAAAGACCGGGAGAAGGGGCTCCAAAATCCCAACCCTATCCCAGAGCCCCTTTCCTCCAGCTTCGCTTCCCATCCCGCGGGCACCGCTCTCCCTGCGCCAGGAGCAGCAAATATCCCGTTTCCATACGCCCCTCGAGGCCCAGCCGGTGGAGCGTTGCAATGGCCCTTCCGGGGAATTTTCAAGCGCTTCCAAGGAATTTTCAAGCCCTTCCCAGCGCAGGATGAGCACGGCGAGGAGCAGCCCAGGCTCAGCCTCCGGAAAAAACACGTCAGGCAGCTTTGCAAAGAAATGAAGCCCTGCTCGTGCTCGCCGTTTCAAATAAAGGCCTTGGAGGCTCAGACTATCGCCTTACAACCCCCTAGTCACCCCACGCGCCCCCAAACCCATCTTGAGCAAGGCACAAGTTGCAGCCCCCCAAGCCCTTGCGTTTCCAGTGCATTTGCAGCATGTTTTGGGTGCTGCTTGTTCTCCAAGCAGCACTTCCACCCCAAAAAGCACAGCCCTCCACCCCACCCGGGCTCACCCTGACCGTCGCATTTCCCTAACGTTAAATCAAGGCAGATTTTGCTCAATAAACAGGTTTTTCTCGCACAATTCCCACTCGGCAGCCAGCACCGGAGCCTGTGGCAGTTGCAGAAGGACAGTGCAGATGGGGCCAGGAAAAAAATAGGCAAAAAAGGGGCTGCAACAGGAGCAGCAGCTTTCGGGAGACCTCACGGTCCTAAACAAGGGGAAAGCGGGACCGTAATTAGCAGCCAGCCCTCACCATCAGCTGCAGCCAATTGTGCAGTTTTTAATTAACGGAGGCGGCCGGGACCAGCTGACGGGCATCGCTGCCAAGGGCCCTGTCCCAGGTGCCCATTAAGGCTGGTTTATTTATTTTCACGGGGCATCTTTTTCTTTTATCATGCAAAAGAGAGAGCAGGGAATAAGCGGTGGCAGCGGCTGCTGCGCAGGGCTGTGCGCCGGCAGCAGCTCCGGACATTCCCACGGAATTCCCGTGCTCCACGCCATCCCGCGTGCTGCATCCGAGCAAAGGGGCTCAGCGCCCTCGACCTTTGCTGGATGGGCTCTAAAATCAAACGTGCTCGTAGGCCAAAGGCAGCAGCCCTAGGTGAAGGGTGGATGCATCCCAGAGCGTTTCTTCCACGTGGAAAGTGAACACGGAGTCTCCGGAGCTGTCCCTGGGAGGGGACATTTACAGGAGAAAAGACGCCCTGGGATTCAAACGAGCCCGTTTTTGTGTGCAAAACCCCCCAGAAAGCAGAGGTTTGGGGCAGGGAAGCTGTTTGACACCTCGTTTAGCCCTCACCTGGACTGCGCACCCTTCGGTATCAGCAGGACTCCCTGGTTTTCCACACGGGACTGAACCGGGATGGGTCACGGAGAGAGGGGCGAAGCAGAGGTGCAGGATGGAGGCTGCCTGGTGTAGGGGCCTGGAAAAGGAGCCTGGTTTTCACCTGGGTGGCTGTGTCCTTTTACAGCCTTCGTGGGGCTCCATAGAGTCCAACAGGCTCCACGAATCCATCCTGCTGCGATGGCAGGAGCCGGGCTCCGCTGGCACGCAGGGATCCCTGTGCTCGGCATGAGCATCTGCTTGATGCAGGAGTCAGAAATAACCTCCAAAAATGAAAACAAAAGGGGGTTACCGGGCTGTGGCTCCACACCCAGGGGGCTTCCACGGCACCAAAGAGTCCTTGGATCCTTGGGATAAAGCCAGAGCTGAAAGAAACCACCAGGAAGATCCCGGGGGAGACGGATCTGTGGCCCCGGGAGCGCTGCCGTGCAAAGAGCCTCCAAAATGGGTTCCCCTTCTGCAAACCGCTGGGACAACGGGAGTCCAGAGAGGCAACGGGAACAGTTTAGGCTGAGGGGAAGGAGAAGGGAAAGATCATCCTGGATCACTCGTGCTCTCTGCAGAGCAGCTCGCAGCGACGCTGGCTCCACAGCAGATAAGATCTGTATTGAGGGATGAGCAGTGGATTATTACGAGCTGTTCCGCGTCCAAAAGCCTCTCGGATTCAGGGCACAATCAAACGGGCTGCCAATATGCATTTAAATGGAGGCGTTTGGGAAGCCATACCCCAAAGAGGAGCTGTCTTCCTTGCTCCGTGCTTTTGCCGGCCTTTGCAAAGGAGGACGAAAACCCCCAAAAAACCCTTTTGCTACTGTGCTGCAGCAAAACCCCCGGCCTCACACCCCTCTTGTCTCAACAGAAGGGTCCAGGGGTTGCAGCGGTGCCAAAACTCATGGAAATCCGCGTTCCTGCTTCCCGCTCTGGGATCCCAAGGGAGCGTGGCCAGGAACCCGGAGCGGGAACCGGCGGCTCCATGCGGGAGCGGGGTCTTGGCACGCTCCGCGGCGCTGCAGGGCCATTCCGCCTTTGATCCCGCTGCTGTGGCTGCGGAAATCGGGATTTTCGACACTGCTTCTCGCCCAGGGAGAGGGCCCTGGGGGCGGCTGTAGCCCTGCGCAGGGGGCCCCCGGTGCGGCCGCTTCCCCCGGACCTGCGCGGAGCAGCGGGAGCATGGAGCCCAAGCTGTGCCCGTGCAAACCGCGCTGCTTCCGAGGCGGGAAGCCTGCTGCGATCCCAAATCCCTGCGCGGCCGCAGGGAGCGGACGGCGCGTTCCGCAAGCGGGACCGTGGTGCCTATCTGCAAGAGGCATCTGCACCAAAAAGCAAAGCCGGGAGCTCCCCGAGCCGCTCTCGGCAGCCAAGGCAGACATTAAATCACTCCTCACTCCCCAGATGAGCCGCGCCGGTTTGCAGCGTTGGCAGGAATGCCAGCAGCGGGTTAGAGCTGCTCCTGGCCTCTCTGCAGGGAAATGAGCAGCTACGCCTTGGGGCTGGGCTCCTTTAGGAGGGCAGGCGGCAGCGGCACAGGGAGACCCTCCCCACACACCTTCCGCAGCCCCCATCCCCGCTTATATGTGATGGATCTAGATGGAAGCAGCCCGGATCAGAGCCGTGCGCGGGACCCCCGAGCACCGGCCGCTCGGGGGCACCAGGCCATGGGTCCGGCGCTCCCGGCTGTGTTTTTAGCCACAGGATTCCTGTTGCTCAGCCGCAAGTGCCGGGTTTGCAGCACAGCCCTGCAGGGCCAGCCGAGCACCTTGAGCGGCGGGCAGAAACGCTGCCCCTTCCCTAATCCGTCAAAATTCCTGCACTTCCCTGCAGGAAAAAATAAAAACAAATCCGTCTGGGGCTGGTCCGGAGCTGCCTACGGCTCGGGCACGGCCCAGACAAGGGGGTGGAAAACTACCGGGAAAGCAGCAGGGATTTGCTGTCGGGTGGGCGGACAGGCGGCTTTAAGTCATTTTTACGGGACAGACCTTGCGGGAGCCCCCGCAATCCGTGCAGGAGCAACGGGATCCAGCCGGCCTCCCTCTGCAGGGGGATTTTTGGGAAGCAGCGCCCCGGGCAAACACCCCGCCGGCAGGTGCGAGGCATAAACGGAGGCTCCCACGTTCCTGCGGCGGATTTATTAGCTTGGGAGCTGATCCCGGGGACAGCTGCCATTTGGAAAAGTCCTTGTCACCGCATGATGCATTCCCTTAATTTCCAGTCAAACGGGGAGCCTGACTATTCCTCTCCGCGCCGGCATCACCAGTGGCTGAGGATAATCAAATGCTCCCCACGTTGCTCCTGCCGCAGCAGGAATAATAATGGATGTGAACATTAAAAACCCTCCCGGCTCCTTCAGCGGCTTTCATTTCAGATGGATAGCTGGGGGCATCCATTCGTTTTCCGCAGCCGGAAAAGCTTCGCTGCGAGACCCTTACTCACAGGGAAGGAAAACACGTCAGCAAAAGCAAAAGCGGGCCGCTCCGTTTCAGCCTCCAAGCAGCAGTTTTGCTCTCGAGCGAACCCCGGTGCCCCCACGTTGCTGCTTTTGCCGCTTCGGGGCCGCTTGGAGCTGCTGCAGAGCCGGGCTAACCGCGCTGGGGCTCCTTGGCAGGAAAACCGGCACCGAGGCTGCTTCTGCGGGGAAGGATGGTCCTTTTGGGGATGCAGCTCCAGCCGCGTCCTCTCCTCCTGCCCCCCCCAGCGGCTCAAGCTGGAAAATCACAGGGAAGAAATCGAAATTTGCAGCAAATTGCCAAATTGTGGCAGTCCTGGGGAGCTAAGTCTCCCCCGAAACGCAGGGGCAGCTGCTGCCTCTGCTCCCTGACGGCTGGAGAGGGCAGCGCAGCGGGAGCGGAAAAGCTTCCCGCCGGGAATGGGCTGCTCTTCCCCGCGGCTACGAGGCGCGACGGGAGCGCGGGCACGGGCTGCAGAAACCGCTGCCGCCACGCAGGGCACGCTACGAGACACACGAATAAAACCAGTGAAAGGCACGGCCTCATTTCCCGCGCCCTGCAGCCCTTCCCGGGGCACCCGCTCCCGCCGGCCGCCCGGGCACGGGGCGGCTGGCCCGGGGACACCCGAGGTCCCGAGCGGCTTGTGCTGGAGGTGCCGCAGCGCGGGGACAGGCCCGCGGGTGGGCTGGGAGCCGAGGCGGCCAGAGCTCGTGCCAGCAAACCGGTAACCGCGGGGAAACCAGAGCACGGCCAGGCCGCGGCGAGGGGCGGCGCGGCCCATGCAGAGCACGGCAGGGCACCCCGGGGTGCCCCAGGGGGCAGGCGGCGCTCCCACGGGTGCCCGGCGGGGCCGGAAGAGGCACCAAGGGGCATAGGGGGGTCCCAAGGGTGTCTAGTGGGGCCGGAAGAGCCCCCAAGGGGCATAGGAGGGTCCCTGGGGTGCCAGCAGTACCAGGAAAGGTCCCGAGGAGGGCGGGGGGCGTCCCTGGGGTGCCCAGCAGGGTCAGGAGAGCCCCCGGGGGACACAGGGGAGTCCCTGGGGTGCCCAGAAGGACCAGGAGAGGTCCCGAGGGGCACAGCAGGGTCCCAGGGGTGCCCAGTGGTGTCAGGAGAGCCCCCAAGGAGCACAGGGGGGTCCCTGGGGTGCCCGGTGGGGCCAGGAGAGCCCACGAGGGGCACAGCGGAGTTCCAGGGGGGCCCAGCAAGGCCAGGAGAGCCCCCAAAGGGCACTGGTGGCCAGGTCCAGCTCCCTGGGGTGCCCAGGGCCCCGCCCCGCGGCCCCGCCCCGCGGCCCCGCCCCGCGGCCCCGCCCTGCGGCCCCGCCCCGCGGCCGTTGCGCGCCGCGCCTGCGCAGTGGCCACGCGCGCGGCGATTCAAACCGCGGAAAGCAAAAAAGGGGCGGGGCGCCGGCGGGAGACGGGGGCGGGGAGAAGAGCCGCGCGCGGATTGGTCCCGCGCCTCGGCGCCGCGCGCGGATTGGTCCCGCGGCTCGGCGCCGCGCGCGGATTGGCCGCGAGGAGCAGCGGCGCTGAGGCGGCGCGGGGCCCGGCGAGGATGAGCGGCGGCGACACTCCCCGCTGTGGCGGCCGCGGCGCCGCCGCGTCCCCCGCGCCGCGCCCCCTGGGCACCCCGGTGCTGGCCGCCTGCCCCGGTAACGACGATGAGCGCGAGAGGCGGCAGCGGCGGCGCTCGCGGGCCGCCGACCTGCAGCTCAGCAGCACCGACTCGCCGCGGGGCCTCGCGTCGCCGGTGCCCAGGTAGGGCCGGGGCTCGCGGCGGGGGCCGGCGCCGCGGCGCGGGGGAGGCGGCGCCGGTCCGCGCTGCAGCGCGTTGCCGTGTCCCGGCAGGCCGGCGGACGCGCCGCCGCCCGCGCTGCCGCGCTGGAGCAACGCGCAGATCTCGGAGCACTACTCGACGTGCATCAAGCTCTCCACCGAGAACGTGAGTGTCCCCGTGCAAGGGGGCCCCGGGGTGCTCGAGCGCAGCCGTTATCCCGTCCGCACCGAGCGCGGCCGCCGCGCTGGCCCCACCGCCTCCTGGGCAGCCTCTGCCCCAGCTTTCCGTGTAGACCTCTTCCCTAATGCCCAGCCTGACCCTCCCCTGCGGCCCTTTCTTCTTGTCCGACCTGTAGTTGCTCTGGGGAGGAGAGCAGGCCCCTTTCGGGGGGCTGTGCGGGGCGGGAGGGCCTCCCCCGGCTCTCCTCCTCCGCACCCTGGCCAACCCCAGCTCCCTCCGCTGCTCCTCGCAAGCTCCGGCCTCCAGCCCCTTGCTGGCTTCCCTGCCCTCCTCTGGACACACTCCAGCGCCTCCGTGTCCTTGTAGCGAGAGGCCCAAAACCGAACATGACATTTGAGACGCAGCTTCCCCAGCGCCAAGCGAAGAGCATCCTTCTTTATCCCCCTGCTCACACGGCAGCCAGGCAGATGCAGCCCCAAACACATCCCCTCGCCTCCAAGTGCCCCCCTAGCATAGCGGGTTGGGATAATCCAAGTTCCTGGATAACCTGGCCAGTGGCATGGTCCACGTATCCACTCGCAGCTCTGCTCCCTTTCAGAAAATCACCACCAAGAATGCTTTTGGCTTGCACCTCATTGACTATATGACCGAGATACTGAAGCAGAAGGACGCGGAGCTGACCAACTTCAAGGTGAGAGAAACTGGTCCCTGTGGTGCCTTTGGCTTCAGTTTCCTAAACGTCAAAGCTCAACCAAGTCTGCAGCGGACTGAAGGTACCTCAGCTGTTATTTTCACTAAAACATCTGGAAAAGATCGCCCAGAAACTTCTAGTACAAGTTTATAGTCTTTACTTCGTTTGTATCCACGTGAAGTAAAGACCAAGTTCTCTTGTTTATGCTCCTTCAAAGCAGGGGCTGGCTTAAAAAGAAGAGTTGTGAGACTTTAAGTAAAAGTCGGGTGTTACGGCCAGTAACAGAACAAGGCTATAAAAGAAAGGAAGTTAGTGTGACTGAGTCCAGCTGATTTCTTGGATGAGCAAATGCCAGGAAACATAGATAGCCCCTAGGAAAGTGGGCCGGTGGTTTTACAGCTGAGGAAATGAGAGTTGTGACAGGAAACTGCATGCAGGTTTTGAGCAGGTTGTCCTTCACCTTCCTGGGTAGTGCTGTGATCTGAAAAGACACTCGGCATTTCCTCTGCTTTTGAATTTTGCCACGTGGATGAGATGAAACGACAGCAAGAGGATGCCTCAAAGGCAGGCAGAGGGGCTGGAGGAGGGTGCTCGCTTTGGAGATGCAAATCTGCAGCCTTTGAGGTAGCTCCTGTGCTCGATCCTGGCAGGTATTCCTCTGCATGAGGCCTTCCAGGAGCCTCGATAAAATAAAACACCTCGACCCCAGCTGTGCCGCCAGCTCTGTGATGGCCTTCAGAGCAAATCCCTTTGCTGTTGTTCGCAGTTTTGCTGTTAAAAAAGAACAAGGCTCCTTCAGCAGCACGGGCTCGCCTTCTGCCCTCGCCCCTTTCTGCGTGTGCCCTGCTCCTTTCTAACGCGCTGCACGTTGTGTTCCTGCTCTCAGATCGCGGCCGGCACCCTCGATGCCAGCGCCAAGATTTACGCGGTGCGAGTGGACGCGGTCCATGCGGATGCCTGCAAGGTTCTCGGAGGCTTGGGCAAGGACTCGGCCCCTCCGAAGGATGCGGACAGCCAGGAAGGAGGTGAGCCCTTGACTCCGTTTCTCTTATGGTCTTACAGGTTCCCCTGACAGGCAAAACGGTGTCAGTGTGCTTAGGCAGCACCCGTGCGTTTCAAAGCACCAAAAAACAAAAATACCAAATAATTTTTGCACGGATGCTGACGGAAACAGAGCTGAGGTAACAGGAACCTGATTTGCAGTCCTGCATGCCACAGTTAGTGTGGTTAGATTTGAATGCAAGCCAATGGTGGCCTAATTTTGAGGCAGGATGCGCCCCCTTCCTTGCTCTCCTTTCCTTCAGGAGGAAAATGTGCTCCTAAGGAAAAAGAGAGAAGTCAAAAGGAAATGCGGCATCCAGTTGATGAAACGTCAGCAGTGCTTACTGGTAGACACCCACCCGGATAACTTTGTGCCCCTCATTTCTTACGCATACGTGTGTGTGTACAAACCAAAGAAAGCCTCTTGTTACATCTCTCGGCTGCAGGGAACTTTAGCAACCTTTTAAAGTGTTTCATTTTCCTTTTCCTTTTAGAAGAAAGTGCTGCAGCTGCCGATGAGTCTGGCAAGAGAGCTCCCACAAGGAAAAAACACTCGTTCAAAACGATAGAGCAGAACCTGAATAACATCAACGTGTCCGAGGCTCATCGCCGACCTGAGGTGGGTGGCGGGGCTCCTCAGCAGCTGCGTCCTGGTGGAGGGAGAGAGACATCCTCTCTTGCTCATTTCTTTTTGTTTTTCCTCACGTGACAGCTTTTTGGACTCTAATGCATGTCTGAATTGTGCTATTAAGACAAGATTGTTCCTAGTTGTGTATATCCCTCCCATGCAAGGCAGCTGGGAGAGCTGTACTCACTGGAAAAGATGCCCAAGGGTCACTTCCTTCAAAGCTGTGCCTAAAGTCACCCTCTGTGCCTGCAGTGACCTGCAGAGACCAGGGTCGCCTCCTCCATCTGCTTGATTCTGTGCTTGCAGGTCGATCCCATGTTCCAGAAAACAGCAGCGTCTTTTGACGAGTGCAGCACGGCGGGCATTTTCCTCACTGGCCTGCGTACCCACGGCTGCCAGAGCGAGCTCCTCTTCGACTCGAACATTGTGCCTCTCCCGTCTTCCGAGACGCCCGCCCTGCCAAACTCCGCACTCGTGAAAGTGGTGGATTTAAAGTGTGAGTGCCAGTGGCCACGAAGCAAAGGGCCCATCCAGGCCTTCCCTTCTTAACCTTCCACGTGTGCCAGGGCTTGAGTTAAGATTTTGTTTAATGAGACTCAAAAAACCAGGAACCTCGTGGGCTTTAGATCACCGCAGGTAGCTTAAACACTGGCAGAGCGGTCACGTAGCACGTGTAAGTGGTCTGAGCTGCACAGCGCTCGAGTTTGCTTCATATTAAGGGCTGACCTCAGTAGTGTGTGACCTCATTAAAGTGCTTTAAGCCTGTGCATGCTGCCAAACCCTTCTGCTGTGCTCGCATTCACAGTGCTGAGCTCACCCTTGAGCTCAGCCTGACTCCCCTTCTGCTCTGAGATGAGACCAAGCGCTTTTGCAGTGAGCTTTGCGCTGTACTTTCGAGAAGAGCTGTCCACGTTTGAGACTTTAAGAATGTTTTCACATCTGGAACTTGTTCCAGCTGCCATTTGCTTTATTCTTTGTCTGATCTCTGCTCTCCTTGGCTGTAGCCCTGCTCACGCAGTGTGTTCACAAACGCCCCATCTGCTCTTCCCTGGCTGGATTCCAGTTCACACAGTGGGATGCCGCATCCCACGATGAGGTACGTCCTTTTGCTCGGGTTAAGGTGGGGTAGTTGAGCTGCCTTTTCTCCTCTGCCTCTGCCTCAAAGAGTTATCCAAGTTTTTCCACCGAACACCATCTCCTTCCACAGTCTGTGTCAGCCCTGCTGGATAAATTCAAGAAGAGCGACCAAGTGTTTGACATCAACGCGGAGATGGACAGTGACGTGGAAGATTGTGTTCCCACCATGCCAAATGATGACTTTGGTGCCGACTCCCCCAACTGTACATTAACCAACAAGATGGGGGAGCTCACAGGAAGCCTCAGGACCTTTGGGACAATCCAGGAGAGCAAAAGGTGAGTAGAAATCCCTTGAAACGGGGCAACAGTGCTGAGAGCACCTGACTGCAGCTAAAGGAGCAGGATGACGGAGGCTGTGTTATGATTCCTCTTGGATGGAGAAGCAGCAGGCCGGAAACGAGACCTGGAGCAGAGCTTCCCTTTCTCTGCTGAGTTCCTTGCTGGGGGATTATGGATTCCCTTAGATGACATAGGAGTTTTCCTTTTGCATATATAGGTTGCGTTCTCCTTGAATCTGGGTGTGTCCAGGAATGTATTACAGGAAACTCTCTGCACTTCTTACATGGGCCAGGCTCACCCAGAGTTATTGCTTACCTGTACACCCTGCACCTGACACTTCAGCCTGTCCTCTGGCAGATCTGTTGTCGCAGCAGCCTCACAAGCGCGTGGTGAGAACCCACAGCCTCTTAAAAAGCAGGAATTTTGCCAGCAGAAGGAGCGGGAAGTGTCTGTTCCGAGCGGGTCCTGGCACCAAGTGTCCTGTGGCAGCAGCAGTCGAAGGGGCGGTTTTACTGAGTGGTGTATATGCTCTTTGCAGCACTGAGGCGGCTCCTCTGGGCGAGGGAGACATCGGCACCATGTGCCTCCACCTTTCCATGAAACCAGGAGAATATTCCTACTTCAGTCCCCGAATTCTGTCCATGTGGGCTGGCCCGGAGCACTGGCGCTTCAAACCTCGTCACAAATGTACGTATCTGCAGGCAGCGCTTGCGGTAACAATCCTGTCGCTGGCAAGTTGTCTTCAGAGAGGAATGGCTTTAATTAAGCTTTGTGCTTCTGTAGGAAAATAATGAGTCCTTTAAAATCCAAAGTCGAGAATAATACACCTCGCTTTTCACTAGTAAAGAGGAAAAAAAGATTTCAGGAATTATGGGTGATCTTTCTGTGAGGAGTAGACACCCAAGCAAGCACGTTGTCTTTACTCTGTCAAAAGCATTGACTCTTCTTTCTGCAGCTGACACTGTCTCTGAAAAAGAGAGTAGGAGGAGGAATACAAAGAAAGTGTTTGAAATAAACTTTGATGAGGATATTGACTTTGAGGTGCATTTCTGTAAGACGAAGGTAAGCAGCAGGTTTCTACCTCTGTCTCCTTTTGCTTTCGCTTCTGCCACGTCAGCGTGCCCTAGAACTGTTGGTGCAAACAGCTCACTGGGTTCTCTTGCGAAACTGCTCTGTAACCCCAGCCTGATGTGTGTTCCTTTGTGTGGATACCTCTGCCTCCAGGTTGTGTTAGAAATGGGAAGCTTTTAAGCAACCACGGGCTAAAGAAGAGGGCAGGATTCTTCCCAGCTCATACTCTAACTATTAAGAAAGACCCTGCAGAACCAGTTGTGCACCCCAGGGTGCCTTGCATACTATACTGGGTCCTCTCAATGCTAAGTTTTTCTTGGAGGTACCTTGCAACTTCATCCTTCAAACAAAGACTTGTCTTCGAGGCAGTTAGTTGCACGTTCGTTTTGTGAGTAGCAGATGTCGCACAGACAATGATATTACCTTCCACAGACAGCTGCAACCCTGGCCAAATCCATCCTGGAAAGCCAGAACGTGAGGAGCACCACACTTCCCCCTGACTTCAACTATGATCCTAGCAACATTGTGCAGCTCTTCCTCAAGCCAGATGTCAAGGTAAGAGTCTTCTCCACAAGCCTGTTGGCAAGGGCTCCGAGCACCCTCTCCGTCACCCTCTCCATCAGATCCAGGCAGTTCCTCAGGGCAGGAGAACGGCCACCACGGTGCCTTTCACTGAACTGATCCTCTTGTGGCAAATGGGGTTGTTTGGCTACCCTGCTTTACAAGGGAGAGGAAAAGGGCTGGTGGCGAGCTGGTACCTGAGGAGGAGAGGAGCCAGCATGCCAGGATAGAGGGAGGTGATAAATTAACAAGGTGCAGGCATTTTGGGGGGAACACTTAAGACTTTTTCCATTTCCTCACCCTGGTCATCTCTCTACAGCTCTGCTGGTTGGCTGCACCAGGCAGCTCGTTGGATCACGAAGATGAGATCGGCGAGTACGATTACAACAACCCCAATGACACCTCCAACTTCTGCCCTGCATTGCAGGTAATTGGGAGCAAGATTTCTCTGCTGTGTATTCTTGCTACGTAGCCGGAAAAACCTGGGGAGAATCTGTGGACAGAATTGCAAGTCGTGACACAGGCATACGAGTCACTGCACACTGAGATGACATTGAGTCAACTGTCTAGCTCTGGAGTATTCTAGGTGTCTCTCTAGGTCTAGAGCTTTAGGTTGGTCTCCTTTGGGAGACCTGATTTCCAATTTCACCCAAATTAATCACCGTGGAAAAAGGCTGAATGAGAAAGTCCTTCTGTGGAGGAGGAGGATGGTTATCTGGTCACTCTGAGGGTTGGGTGCTCCAGTTTGCTCACTGGAGGGACCACCACGGTGGCTGGGGGTGGCCTCACTGCTGCCTCTGTTCTCGATCAGGCTGCCGATAGCGACGATGACAACGACCCCGCTGACTTTGGGGGACAGCCAGGGGAGTTCAACCTCACTGCCCACCCTGCGAATCAAGACGCTGAGCAAAACGGCGGCGAGGGTGGCGTCGATATCACAACATACGGCGAGCTGAACCTCGTTGCGGAGCCCCAGAAGGTAAAGGCTCATGCATTGTCCTCTGCTGGAACCGCTTGCTGAGCGGGTCCGGAGCAAAGCTGCTCAACACCCAAGATGAATTTCACCAGTGCAGGAGCTCCTGGCCTCGCTAGGGTGCTCTTTATTTCCAAATGGACCTCTGCAGGATGGAAAATGATTAAAAATCAAGGTTTTGGTAGCAGGAGAGCAGTCACTGGTGTTCCCAAAGGAGAGTCATGTCTTGGTTGTTCTTGTCCTGATGAAGGATACAGCTGCCTCTGCTCACTTGCTCTCAGCTAATTCCAAATATCCATCCTCAGGTCAATAAGATAGCAATCCAGTATGCAAAGACAGCCAAGAAAATGGACATGAAGAGGCTGAAGCAAAACATGTGGGACCTCTTGACTGATGGACAGAAGAAAGAAATAGCGGAAGAGGTGAGTGCAGGGGAGTACCCCAGGTGGACCCGACTTGCTAGATGCCTCAAGAGGCCTGAGGATATTAGAATGTCCTACAGGTGACTATATCTATGCATAGCTCCTGTAGAGACAGTCTTGGGCAAGCAGAGGAACAGTTCCTCTCCAATAGTCTTGCTCCCAGAGGATGGCTGACAAGTATGGACTTGGAGTGGTGCCTATACTTTTTTCTGTCCACAAGGCTGTGCTGAATCCTTGGGAGGAGAATCTCCCCCAACAGTGCCTGTCTCTTTTTGCTAAGCAGATAAAAAACATGGAGGAAGAGATGGAGAAATCAGCAGTAGCAGGCGAGAAGGTCTTCAGCAGCATCACAAAGGAACTGATTCACAGGTAGAGAGGCCCTGAATGGGCTCAGAACAAAGCTGGGATGGGCAAACACGGACCTGCCTAAGTTGGTTATGGCCTGTTCACTGAACCCCGATGCTGTTTTGGGCGCAGGTGTCCTTAGCTTGTGCCACTACAGGAGGCTTGGATCTGCCAACGCGGGCAGCAATGCAAAGATGACTTAGATAGGGGATGATTTGCTCCCCCATGTGGTGGCTGCAACTGATTTTCCATGATAGTGCCTGAAAGCTTATCAAACAAATCCATTCCTCTCACACTCTGCTCTTGCACAGGAGGAGCCACAGGTTGCACTGGGCTTGGTGGAGGCCTTGCTAGCAAGAGGAGCGAGGCAGAGAAGCTTGGGGACGTGGGGAGGACCTGCCACGCGTGCCCCAGCAGTAGGGTTTCAGTGCCTGATTTCTGACTAGTCTTCTCTTGCTGCCTTTCCTAGACTGCCCTCAGTGATGGCTAAGAACCTGTCGGTGCCGCTGGCCTTCGCCTGCCTCCTGCATTTGGCGAACGAGAAGGTGAGCGCGCTGCCTGGGAGCATTGCACTTCTTGGGGCACACCACCACTCACCAGGGCCAAGAAAATGGGCCACATCTTAAGCATCCACTTCCTCCTTGAAGTGAACATGGATTGCACTCGGCTGAGTTTGTTTTTCCTTCCCCTTTTCCCAGAATCTGAAGCTGGAGGGCACAGAGGACCTGTCGGATGTCCTAGTGAAACAAGGCAACTGAGAGAAGCTCGTGGCGGTTGCTGCTCCAGGACAGAGCTCTGCTCTCCCAGCTCGTGCCAACAGTGTCGCTGGGCAATCCCAGGGGTGTCTTGGGAAGACTTACATCACGGATGCCCCATCTAACCAGGGGGCATCCCTAGGGATGGAGAGCTGCAGCTCGGCCTGCCGGTCTCTTGTCACGCTGGCTCCGTCACCTCATTCCTTGGGCCTCGTAGCAGGGTTCCTGGGAAAGGCTCCTCCAGGTGTTGCTCTTCAGGGCCTGGACTGACCCATTCATGGTTCCAGTTCCTCCTGCAGTCCTGCTCCTCCCCTCAAATGATTTACTTTTTCTACTGAGCTTAAAGATAATAAATTGCTACAACTTTTTAGATGGGACTTTGAAAGTGAGGGGAAAGAGGAATCACAGACAGAAAATGGATAAAATAGTCAAAGTTGGGGGAGAGCAGCAGAGTTTAATTTGAGGGAGATCTCTATGCCAGGCAACTCACAGCATTGACAAGAGGGATGGTTTTTTTTCAGTAAAATAGTGACAAAGAGGCTTTCTTAACAAAGCAAAGGTGTCTTTCTTTGTCTTGCACCTCAGCAGAAGGGGGACCATGGGGATCCAGGGCTTCACGTTCACTGCAGTGACGTGCACTGAGGGCCTTCCATGGCCCTGCCTCGTGGCCACTTCATGCTGGCTCCTGCAGCACTTCAAGGGTTTGTTTGGCCCAGCAAGGGCCACCACGGTCTTTGCCGCTCTTGCTACCCGCGTGGCCCACTGTATGTCCTGGCCTGGTGACCAGTGTCCTGGGGCTACCCTGCTTTGTGTTCCCCAGGGCCACTTTTGGCTCCTGCTGTCCCCTGTGGCCATTCCCTTGCTCTTCCCAAGAAGCCACGTAGGATCAGGAGGGGAGGTGGAAGAAGCGGGAGATCCTGCTGCCGCGGGCGCCGTGCCTCGCTGTTGGCCGCTGCTCGGGCAGGAAGCTGGCCAGCTCCTCCTCCAGCAGCTGCAAGGAGAGGACAGAGCTGCTGGCTCCCTCCTGGCCACCTCCAGGGCCACCTCGGGCCAACTCACCTCGCGGCGGGCCGCGAGCCGCTGCTTCCACTCGCTCAGCTCCATGGCGTGTTCGTCCTCCAGCCGCGCCAGCTGCCGCTGCTCCTGCTCTGCCAGGAGCTGCATCTTCTCCCTCTGGGAGCGGGCGAAGGGCGCGTGGGAAGGGAGACGCTCGAGGAGCGGGAGGAGGGATGTGGGAACCGTCACCCCAGCCGTGGTACCTGCATCTGCTCCAGCTCCTGCAGGCTCTGGGCCTGCTGCTCCTTCAGCTGCTGCTCCTGCTGCTCCTGCTGCTGCTGCAGCTCTGCTCGCTGCCGCTTGGCCTCGTGCTGCAGGAACTGCCGGGGGGACAACCCGCGTTACGCTCCCCGGGGAGGCGTCTCCTAACCTTGCCCTTGACCACCCTTCACGTGGGTTTCCACCATCCATGGGCGATTCATCCATAGGTTTCCACCATCCACGACTCCAAGCTGTTGCCCACAACAGCCAGCCCATCTCTGGTTTCCACTCGCCTTTGCCCTGGGGTGGCCACGGGCCAAACTGGTATTTCACACTGGGCAACCTTGAGGGTGCTGGAGAAGCAGTACCTGCTTAGCTCTCTCCTTCTGCTCGGCCCCATTAACCTCCTGGCTCTTCAGGTTGCCCTTGAAGAGGACGAGGTGGGCCTTGGCATCGCAGCGCTGGCGTCTCAGCAGCTGAGCCCGCTCTTGGGCCTGCTGGCTCCGCAGCTCCTCCAGCAAGAAGTGGTGGAAACGGCTCATCCGCGCCCTCTCCTGCAGGAAAAGCCAGCGGGTGAGGCGGGTCCCGGACACGGCGCAGAGCCGGAGCAGCAGCTCCCACCTCACCTTCTCGTGGCGCTTGCGGAGCTGCTGCCGCTGCAGCGCGTGCTGCTCCTTCACCTGCTGCTTGAAGAGCTGGTACTTCTTCTGCAGGTGTCCCTGCTCCGTGCTCCACACCGTGGACTCGCGGGCTGCCGTAGGACAGCTCCGCGCGGCTCAATCCCTGCCCACCAGCCCAACCCAACCTCCAGCCCCATCTCTGGTGTCCCGCACCAGCCAGACCCCCGGCGCTGCTTCCCCAAGGCGCCCCCATCCTCTTCCTCCAGAGCTCCCGCAGCCCCGTCTACCTCTGCGGAGGCTGTGGATCTTGCCGATGCACTCCCAGTCAACGGCCGCCACCTTCTTCTTATGCTCCTGGACAACCCTCTGCAAGGCTGCGTTCAGCTCCTCCTGCTGCTGCTGCAGGAGCTGCTGCTCCTGCGCCGGGAAACGCGGAGACCTTCATCCCAAAGCCCGACGGAGACCGGCCCCAGGTGCAGCTTAGGGGAGCCACGTCCTAGGTCTGTCACCTCTGCCTTGTTGCCCTGCAGCTCCGGCATCCTCCTCTTGCCGTCCTTCTCCTGGAGGCCCTTGAGGCGCTTGGCTTCCTCGCGCAGCCTCACCGTGTGCTCCTGCTCCTGGCGCTCCTTCAGCTGCCGGTAGTGCCGGTCCAGGTTCTCCACCTCCTGGTCGTAGTACTGCTTCTTGCTCTACCACCGCGCGGACACCGAGGCTCAGCGCGAAGCCGGGACGGGGGTCCGCGACCCGGGGGGGCTCCCCCGTCGCCCCGTTACCGTCATGTCCTGCTCGATGTGCCGGAAGAGCTGCTCCCGCTGCTGCTGGAACCTCTGCTCCAGCTGGCTCTGCGCCCTCTGCTCCTCCTTCTGCAGCAGCCGCAGCTCGTGGAGCACTTGGCGCCTGCGAGGTGGGGCAAGCCCAGAGGACAAGTGGCCAAAAGCTGCCCAAAGGTGCCCACCTCTTCCAGGCCTTGAGGGGAACCCACTGAGGAGGCCCTAGTGAGGAGCCCTTCTCTCCAGGCCCCCCTGGTGCAGTGGGGTGCAGGGGACAATCTCCAGGGATCAGGATCACCACTGCCTGTTGGGTCCATCGAATCCTACACTCAGCTGTTGCCTCTCAACCTCCCCACGTCCTTTCCTGCCCTCCTTGGGTGACACAAGAGTTCATGGAAGATCTTCCCCTCTCCTTGCCTCAACCCCACACCATGATGTGGTGAGAGCAGGTCCGGGGCTGGGCAATGGTCAGTTCCTTGCACCTCAGCGGGTGGACGTGGGCTTCAAGCACTCACCGAGCAGAGCGTATCTTCTCCTCCCTCGTCTCGGCCTTGCTGGCGGTCTTGGCGGTGGTCACACTCACCTCCTCTCCATCCACGGCCAATCTGCAGGTTTTCTCCACCGTCCTTGGGAGGGAGGGAGGTTCCTGCCACCGGGAGCAACGGTTGGAGCTCAGGCAACCCAGGCAACAGAAATCCTGAACTGGGCGACACCCTGGGGGCTGCTGGCCACCTGGACATGGGCTCTAAGAGCAGAGCTGAGCTCCTCCTTGTTTTGGGGCAAACGAGTCTGGCCCCCCATCCTGCTGCAAGGCAAGAAAAGGGCTCCCACGACCTCAGCAGAGGACACGGGAGGTTGCTCAGATACCTTCACCAAGGAGCTTTGGGCTCCCCGAGCTTGCCCTGGCCACATGCACAGCCCAGCCTGGGGCAGGATTTGCTGTCACCGCTCAACTGCTTTGGAGACCACAAGGGCTCTGCATGGCCAGGTCACCCCCAAGCCCACAGTGGGCAGGCGGCTCCCCGCAGCGTGGCCCAGACGAGCCGCTGTGGCCACCTCTCCCTTTGCAGAAGGGCCATCTCCACCCTCGAGAGCTCCAAGCCCCACAAGCTGAACCTCGGCAAGGCCAGACCGTACTTCTGCTCAGCCAGGACTCATGGCCAACAGAGTTGGAGGCCACCAAAGCAGTGCCACCCTCCCCTTCGCCCCTCACCTGCTGGGTGTCCCCCACAGAGGAGAGCGGAGCGTGCGCGTCCCCAGGTCTTGACGGAGGCAATGGCTCCTCTCCTCGCTCCGAGGCAGAGCCGGGCCCGGAGTGGGCGTCTGGGGTGTCCTCTACTCTCCAGGCCACCCAGGAGGAAGAGCGACGCAGGGCAGCAAAGCTCACAGTCCTCACGGCCTTTGGGTGCCCACCACGACGCTCCGTGGGCTCTGCCACCTCTCCATGGCCCGGGTCACCCATTTCTCCTCTGGATCCACCTCTTGATGGCCCTGTAGGAGCTGGAGCAACCTTCACCCCAAGATCTCCAAGCACATTCCTCTCTCCTTTCCCATCCTCTCCAGCTCCATCTTGCTTCTCGCCTTCATTACTGTAACCAGCCAAGCGCTGCTTTTCTCTGGAGCCATTTTCCACTTTCTCCTGTCTTGTCTCCTCTTTCTCTGCACCTGGGATCTCCTTAGGGAATGAGTCTTTTGTCCCGTTTTGGGCTTCCTCGGGCATCAATTCCTCTTCTGCTTGTGCTGCACTCTCTGCCTCCAGGCTGTCTCCGCCAGGCCACCCTTCCCCACCAAGGGCATCTCCTGCAGGACTGGGGTCTCCAGCGAAACACTCCCTTGCGTCCTCCGGGATCACTCCTGTCGGCACCGGCATTCCCTCGGGAGAAGTTCCCACCGCCGCACGCTGATCATCTTCACGGAGGTGGTTACCCACCACAGCGTCCGCAGCTTCCTCCTCCCCGCGCCCTGCGTGCCGCTTGGCCAGCTCCGAGGAGCTGGTGGTGGACTCCAGCGCCACTGGGCTTCTCCCCCGGCTGGCTCCCTCTCCAGGCTCATCGGGTCCTGCCGGTGGCTCCTGCCACCCCCGGAGCTCTTCCGAAGCCGCCGTCACCTCTGCCACACTCTGCACGAGCAGCGTTTCTTCTGGTGGCACCTTCTCCTGCACGGAGTCAGGCTCACCAGGCTCTCCATCGCGCCCAGCTCCCTCGGGTGCTCTCTCAGCTCCATGCCCATCTTCTCCAGGGCTGGTTCCCCACATTCCAATCCCATGGGAGCCGCCCTCCGTCCACAGCTCAAGCCCAGCAGCCCCGGGCTCCGGCGACGACCCCTTCCCGAGCTCGGCCACCGACCCTCGGAAGCGCTGCCCACGGCTGAGGACGCAGCCCAGGTCCAGGGCCGCCACCAGCGGGGAGCCCCCGGTCGTACATGGCATGGCTCCGGACCTGCCGCCACAACCACGCTCCGGGCGCCGCTCCGGAGCCAGGCTGCTCCTCGGAGCTGCCGCGGCGACCGGGCGCCCGCCCAGCGGCTCTGCCGAGCGGCTCCTGCTCCAGCCCCAGGCCGCGGGCATCGCCAAGGACGCGCAAGCTGCATTCCCCCTTGGCTTCTCCCCAGGGTCACGCTGTGGGGACAAGGTGGCTTTCGTTCGGGTCGCAACAGCCGCTTGGTGTCCCTCTTCCAGGAGTCCAACGTGCTCCGCGCTCCGCCCTTGCCCCTCAGCAGTGTCCCCTGCGTCGCGTGTCCCTGGGGGGAGCTCTGCCGCCTTGGGGGGGCTCTCCAGAGCCTTGCGCTCCTCTTGATGTCCTTCAAGTTCTTCTCTCGGGGCTCGTGGCCCTTGGAGGGCACCCGGCAGCACCTGCCCCGGCTCCCCTCCATCCGCCCCGTGCCTCCTGCTGGCAGCTTCCTGGCACTTGAATCCTGCCACGCACGACCCGCGCCTCCCCAGCCCCAGGAATCCGGAGGGTCTTTCCGGAGGGAGCCTCGCAGCGCCCACCGCAATGGGTGCGGATTTCCTCCTCGCTTGCTTCAGCGAGTCGGACGCCTTCGTGGACCTCACGCGGTGGACACCCCTTCCCGGCTCCTCTCGGGCACCGGCACGGGTGTCCTGAGGCTGCTCCATAGGCTCCCGTGTGTCCTCCTCGCGCAGGGCGGCGGGAGCCACCGGCACGGCTGCTCCTCGCGCCTCTGCTGCGGCTCCATCCGTGGCGTCCAAGGAGCCCACGGAGGAGCCTCCGTGTCTGGGCTGCGGGAAGGAGGCAGAAGCGAGGTCAGCGTCCACCCTGAGACCTCTCCTGGTGGAACAGCCCGGCCCCAAAACCTCCTTTCCTTCCCTCTTGCACCCGCACAACAGGGCGGCTGCTGCTCACCAGCTGGGCCCGCTGCTCTTCCTCCTCCTCCTCCTCCTCGTCCAGCGCCTGCGCCCGGGCCTGGGCCAGCAGCTCCCGGAGCGGCCGCCTGCCGAGGGGCTCGGCCACAAAGGGATGCTGCGCGCAAGGACGGGGGTGGCAGCTCCCGCGGGCACGGAGCCCGCGCGCCGCCCCGCGCGCCGCTCCCCACCTGCAGCAGCCGGCCGGCCGACCAGCGCGCCTCGGGGCTCTTCTCCAAGCATTTCCTCAGGAAGTCCTGGAAGTCCTCAGACCTGCGGGAGAGCCCGCGGTGAGCCCGCGGGATTCGGGGATCTGCTGGGATGCAGCCGCTCTGCCCAGGGTGGTGCCATCGGCCAGGGTGGGCCTGTCCTCACCCTGGTCTTCCCGCTGCTGAGGTTACCTTCTGCAGGAAGGGTGCTGGGGTGGGAAAGCCACGGTGCTCGCTGGAAACTTAGGCTTGGAGAAGCAAGACCATCATTTATGGTCCAAAATCCCGGCCCTGCCTCGGCTTTGAGCACAAGCTGCCCCCCTGAACGGGTTCTTCTCCCCTCCGTCACGCTGGGCAAGCTGTCTCCGCGTGGGGACTCACCACCGCTTGGGATGGCGCAGGGTGGGCGGCTGGGACTTGGCGATCTTCAGCAGCACCCGCAGAGGGCTGAGCTCGTGGTGCGGGGGCTCCATCTCGGCCATCTCGATGAGCGTGATGCCCAGGGACCAGATGTCGGCCTTGTAGCCGTAGGGGTTCTCCTTGGACGTCTCGCACTGCACGACCTCGGGGGCCATCCTGCGCACGGGAGACACGCGAGGGGTGCAGCCTGCCTGGGCGCTCGCTCCCCATCTCCTGCTACGGGAGCGCCCAGCTCCCTAGGAGCGCAAACCCCGGTGCACCCAGGGACAGGCCACCCCCAGGACAACCCCATGGGCAGGAGAGGTAAGATCCGACCCCCAGGTCCTCCAGCCCTTCCCTGGAATGGCTCGTCCCACAGGGGCTCATCCCACGGGCGGCCTCATCTGCCCGTGGATGAGACCCCCGCCCAGAGAAGGGGCTGCCTGGAGAAGGGGCGGGAGGGAAGGGCTGTTTCCTCAAGGAGAGGGTCCCAACGCGGGAGCTGCTTTGGGCGCCCAGGAGACAGGCAGCAGCGAGGGCTGCAGCTCCACCGCGAGCAGGGAGACGCCGCTGCTCCCCCACATCCCGCCTCTCCCCGGGCTTCCCACCCCACGCCTACCAGTACGGGGTGCCGATAAAGGACCCTCGGCGCTGGAGAGTGCTGGAGTTCTTGGCTGAGACACCAAAATCGGCTGTTCCATAGAAAGCGGGATTTAGGGAGCACCGTCGGAGCGCTGCTCCGGCGAGAGCCAGCTCCGGGAAGCGGGGCTCCGGCCCGGGAGAAGTGCCGGCCTCGCTCAGCGCCTCGCGTCCCTCGGCCAGGGGCAGCTCACCCAGCTTGACATCGCCGCGCGCGGTGAGCAGCACGTTGCCGGCCTTCACGTCGCGGTGGATGATCCTGCAGCCATGCAGGTAGTGCAGCGCCTGCAGCAGCTGCCTGCACGCCGCCCGGATCTGCTCCTCGCTCAGGCCTCTCTCCAGCTCTGCCGCGAGACCCCGAGCGACGTGTGGCGGGCAGCCCCATGGGGACCCCAGCCCGAGCGCCCGCAGAGCGGTTTCTTTACCCAAGATCGCGGCATCCATGGCTCCTCCTGCACAAAACTCCACCAGGATCTGTGGGGAGAGTCATGCGCAGGAGAGGTCCATGCAGCACCCACAGCACCATCATCAGCCCAAGGAGCAACCCCCTCCCAGCACATCCCAGCACGGACCGTAATCCGCCCCGCGGCGCCTGCGCTCACCCAGAGCCGCCCGTCCCAGTAGAGCGCGTCCAGCAGCTTGATGACGTTGGGGTGGTCACAGCAGGCCAGGATGTCGATCTCCCCCGCGTGGTCCTCCAGCTCCTCCTCGCTCGCTATGGGGATGACCTTGGCTGCCGCCAGGACGCCCGTCACCTTGTGCTGCGCCTGGCAAAACCGGGAGGCTCCACGTAGCGACAAGAGGTTCCACGTCCATCATGCCACAACCCTGGCTTCTATGGGGAGCTTTCAGTAGCCCCTCTCGTCCAGCAGACCAGGATGGAAGCTGGGATTTCGGGTCCCCTACGCAGCCCAGGTCACCACGGTGCCGCCTGGGCCGGTGCCCCCGGTGCCGGCAGCGCGGGGGCCCTGCGCCCGGAAGGCGGCTGCGGTCGGGGCGCTGCGGGTTTCCTGCCGCCGCGGCACCGTTTCGGTGACAACAGGCCCCGAATGCTGGCGATGGAGGAGGGCGAGCGCTCCGGTGCCGGGATGCTCCGCTTCCAAAGCGGGATGCGCAGGGATGGCGCGAGGACGCGGCCGGCGAGCTGCGGTGCGCTCACCTTGAAGACCTTGCCGAAGGCGCCGGCGCCCAGCTCGCCCAGCAGCAGCCACATGTCCTCGGGGTCTGCGCCGCGCCGCACGCGCCCGTGGCCCCGCGGCCGCTCCTGCTGCTTCTTCCCCGCGCCCGGGCGGAAAAAGCGGCGGATGAAGGCCATGGAGCCGCTGCCGCCCGAGGGGCCCAGGCGTCCGGGGCCGCCTCCGCGCGGGGGCTGCTGCTCTTCCTGCGTCGCGCGCAGGAAGCGGCGGCCGCGCGGGACGCGCCGCGCGACGAGGCCGCGAGCGGCAGCGCCCCGAGGCTGCCGGCCCCGGAGGGCGGCTCCGACAGCCCACGAGGAGGTTTCTGCAGCCAGGGCCCCGACCTGCCCCTGCCCCTTAGGGATGCAGAGCGGGAGCTCACGCAGCTGCTCCCAGGCACACTTGTGGTCCTCAATGTCCATGTGCTCCTGCACAGGAGCGCTTTTCCAGGGATTGTTGGACCCCTATGGATACAATTCCTTCCACATGCCTTTTTTTTCCTAGAGAACCCAGGTGAGAAGAGCTCTCCCCCAACAGGCCTAAAACCTGAGCTTAAATAGAGCCCTGGCACTAATAGGTGCAGGTGGACACACAGCTGAGGGTGTTTAGGGCTGTTAAAGCTCATTGGTGCCCTCAGTACTGGGTGTTGGGTCCCATCCCATCCCTGCAAGAGGGTCCAGGCCCATGAGCTGCCAAAATGCACCTAGGTGCAGCCTCTTTGGCTTTTTCTGTCTTTTCTTGCTTTTTTTTCCTTGCCCTCTTCCTCCTCCTTAGGAGATCTTGGCTGTGTTGGGATGCAGCAACCAGACAGCCTGCAGGATACAGGAATCCTTGAGGCTGGAGGGGCTTTGGGAATGCCCCAAGTTCAGCATGGGCTCAGAGGCACCAGGTCAATCCCGCCCAGCCAGGCACCTCCGCAAGATCCAGACCCTGGAGCAATTCACACAGCCCCGATCCTTCCTCATCCACGATCGTGGCCACTTGTTCCTTGCCGGAAACAGGCTGGTTTCTCCGGGTGGCTTTTGGGCATGGGGGCTTCCCCCCTCCCAAGGGCTCGGCCCGTTCCCGAGGTGCCGGCTTTCCGCACACGGGCGGCGGCGGCCGCCCCTTCCCCGCGCAGGGCGGGGGTTTCTCGCGCTCTGCCGGGGCTTCCCCGCAGCGAGCGGGTCGCGGCGGCTGCGGAGCCCATTGGGGAGCCCCTACCCCCCGTTTCCCTCCCGCTTTTAGCACAGGGCTTTCAGCCCCGCTGCTCTCCCCAGGGCCCCGCGTGAGTCACCGGGGATTTTGGGGCTCTCTGGTGGCCGCGGAGCACGGGGGGCTCCGGGGCCGGTGTCCGAGTGCAGCCCGGGATGCCGCCGGTGCCGGGGTGCAGCGAGCGGCAGTCCCCGGCACGTCCCGGAGGCAAAATGAAGACATTAAATTAAAATGCAGATGATAAAGTGATTAAAATAAAGGATATTTTGTCAAGCTGGGGGGGCGGGATCTGCCCGCGCTGCCAATGGGCGCCTCTGTGGGAGGAACAGGGAAGAGTCGGGACCGGGCCAGCCCGGAGCCGCGGGGGGACTGGGGGAACTGGGAGCACTGGGGGAGCCCGCGAGGACGGGGCGGACCCGGGTGCCCGAGGGAAATCCCTGCACACTCATCCAGCGAAGCGGCGCCCGGGAGCACCCCTCCCGCCCCGCTCCTAAAAAAGCCCCGCGTTCCGGTAACGAAAGAGTCAATGGCGCGCCCGCACTCGCACTCACACTCGCACACGCCACTTCCCTGAGTGGGGGGTGACTCACGCCGCAGCCCGCAGCCCCGCGGCAGGAGCCCGCGCCGCGCCCGCCTGCCCGTGCCCGTGAGTACGCGCGGGGCCGCGGCGGGCACCGCCGGGGACGGGGAGGACACCGCGCCGCCGCCGCACCGGGATAAGCCCCGGGATAAGCCCCGGGATAAGCCCGGCCCTGCTTTCCGCACGGAGACTTCAGCCCCGCCACGGTCCCACCGCGGACACTCGGCTGCCCCCGGCACAGGCGGGGAGCTGAGCCCCGATGCAACTCGGTGCATGCGGGCGCGCGGCGGGTGTCTGCCCGGAACGCGGCGAGGGGCGCGGAGGAAAAGGGTCTTTTTGAGCTCTTCGCTGTCCCCATAAAGGGGGGGTCCCGAGTGGCGCCCCCCGCCATCATCATCCCCCCAGATCCCGAGCACGGGGCTCTGCCCCTCGTGGCCCCGGGGCCGGACGGGGGGGCAGCCGGACGGGGGGGACCCGGCGGCGCTCGCTGATGTCAGGCGGTATTTTAATTCTCTTACATGGAGCGGGCCCCCCCGGGGGGGGGGGTGATGACTTAAGTGGATTACTCATCCACTGTAATAGCTTGGCAGCGTTCCCAGGCTATTCCTAGACGTGACGCTCGAAGCTTTGATTCTTCCTCTTCTGCTGCCTTTTTTGATTTTTTTTTTTTTTTTTTTTGTGTGTGTGTTTTTCTTTTTTTTTTTTTTTTTTTTTTTTTTTTTTTTCTTGCGCACTTTCTAACTGCAAATCCCCCCTCACGCCATGGCGGGGGGGTCTGGGGACACGGCGCTGCCGGGAAGCCCTGAGAGTTTTCTCCCAAAGTGGGGGAAATACCAAAAACGCTACAAAAGAAAGGGCAAATTTTGCCCCTCTGGGCCAAGCCCTTGCAGCCACTGCACGAAGGGGCCGCGTCCCTCTGCCCCAGGCAAATCAGCCCAAGCCGGCGACTGTGTGCTTGGCAAAGACATGTAACGTAAAAGAAAGTAATTATTTTCATGCCAACTGGAGCCCTTTAGCCAAAATTGCTGCTTTTCCACCCAGAAAGTGCTGGGCTGCGTGTGAGGCCCCAGTCCGGTTTCCTGCTCTTTCGCAGTGTCAACCAGAAAGGGAGGAAATAACGTCAGCGGTTTCTTTTCAGCCCTTGTGCTGACTGTAAACCGGCTCCGAACGCGAGCAGTAAAATCACAGCGCAGCAAAGTGTGTCCCCCCCACCCCCCTCTGCATTTATATGTTTTTTGTGGGGAGAGGGAGTTTAAATGTTGGTCTTTGGGGCCGTCTGCTGTCACTGGTTGTGTTGGTGTCCAAAACTGGGACTGGTTTGGGGATAAGGGAGCGGGTGGGTGGATGCTGCCACCCCAGACAGCTGATGGCCGGGTTTGGGGTGCTGGGACAGGCAGGTGTTGCGGTCAGCGGGGAGCACCGTGAACACTTGTCCATGTGCTCACACGTGCAGCCGCTTGCACGAATGCATGCGGTGCACACGCGTGCACTAACCCTGCACATCCACACCTACACCACAAGGAATGCATGCCGGAATGCACCTGAATAAGAGTGCACATGCTCGCACGTCCTTGCACATGTTTGCACGTGCTTGCACACCCGTGCACACCCGTGCACACCCGTGCTGGAGTTCTTTAGGACTACAGGAACAGGACTACAACTCCCAGCATGCCTTGCGCCGATGGAGGGCGAGAGGGGGGCGGTGCCCAGCGTGGGCGGGGCCTCTCGGCGGCGCGCCTCCAATGGGAGAGGGGGCGTGGCGGCACCGCCCAATGGCCGCCCGGGGGCGGGGCCGGGCGCGGGCGCGGCGGGCAGTCACGTGGCGCGGGCGCGGCGGCGGCGGGTGAGCGGCACCGGTACCGGTACCGGGCGGGCGGACTGAGGCGGGTGGGTGTGTGGGGGGGTCCCGTTCACCCCTCCCGGCGACCGCCGAGCGCTGCCTCAGTTTCCCCCGACTAAAACCCACTTCTTTTCCCAATTTGGGGGAAATTATCTGTATTTTTAACCTTAAAATCTGGCGCCGGGGGTGCCGCGCTGTAGTATCCGGTTGCGGCATCACTCACCGGGCGCCAAAATCAGCCGATTTCAGGGAAAATCGCTGCCGATTTGGAGTGCTTTGGGATCAGCAGCCCGGTTGATCCTGCTTTTCCTTCCCCCTGCCCCATTCCCGGAGCAGCCCCCGGCTTGAATCCAGCCATGGAGGAGGAGGGCAGCCCAGCTCGGCCGGAGGATGAGCCCAAAAGTCAGAGAGACGAAGCCTCCGTGGAGCCATCGGTGAGTGCCATGAGGAACCCCCCCAAAGACCCCCCCAAAAGAAAAACGCTCTACAAATAAGCAACCCTCCCCCAAAATGCTCCAAAAAGTAAGTTGGACGTTCTCTAATCCTGGCCTGTGGAGGCTCGGGTGCCTCCTGGCAAAGCGGGATGCCAGGGTGGGATGGCTAAACCGCCGAGGGTCCAAATTTCCCATCAGAAAGCAGAAGAGAAACCAAAAGTTTCAGGTCCGGGCTTAAGGCGGGGGTGGAGGGGGCAAAAAGAGCTGATAGCCATCAGATAAACCCAGCTTGGGGGGGGTTGCTGTGATTCCGGCTTTCCCATGTGCCGGACTTCACTCCGGAGCGCCAGGATCTGCTCCGTCCACAAAGCCCGAGGAGAAGCAAAAGTGGCGACGCCGAGCGGCCGCTTTTGCCCAAAAATAGCAGCGAGTTTCAGAAGGCCGGAAAACGCCGAACAAACAAGCGCGGAACATTTTTAGCCCAGCGAGGAGGAGGTGGCCGGGGAGGGGGGGGAGCACAAGAATTTCTGCCCTTGGCTTTTCCTGGAAAACGCTCCGCGCGCTCGCGGCGCCGTCGCTTTGACCGACCTGGCGGCGAGCCCGGGCTAAAGCAGCGAGCGGCTCAGCAGCCCCTCGGGAACGAGATGGGGGCGAGGGCGGCGGTTGTAACTTGCGGTCCTGGGCGCTGCCTCAGTTTCCCCGCTGTCTCTGGGACGTTTTTGCTGTCCCCCAGGAGCCGGAGGCGTCCGGCGGCCCCGAGGAAGAGGAGGGGCGGCTCAAGGCGGCCGGTGAGAAGGAGGAAGAGGAGGCCTTCCTCGTGAGCCTCTACAAGTTCATGAAGGAGCGCCACACGCCCATCGAGAGGATCCCGCACCTGGGCTTCAAGCAGAGTAAGATCCCCCCCCCCTACATTCCTGGGGCGTCCGCTCGGAGCCTTCGCACGCAGAGCTGCCTCCTCTTCCTCGCCAGTTAACCTGTGGAAGATCTACAAGGCCGTGGAGAAGCTGGGCGCCTACGAGCTGGTGACGGGCCGCCGGCTCTGGAAGAACGTGTACGACGAGCTGGGCGGCAGCCCCGGCAGCACGAGCGCCGCCACCTGCACCCGCCGCCACTACGAGAGGTAAGGGAGGACGGCGGCGGGCACGGGAACGCGCCTGGGCCACCTCCGTCACCGGCGCCACCTCCGTCACCGGCGCCTGCCGTCCCCAGGCTGGTGCTACCCTACGTGCGGCACCTGAAGGGGGAGGAGGACAAGCCCCTGCCGCCCGCCAAGCCTCGCCGGCAGTACAAGGGCTCCAAGGGAGGCCACGAGCCCGCCGAGAAGACCAGGAGGTCCAAGAAGGAGAAGAGCCGGGAGCAGGTACGGAGGCACCGAGCCTGCTCCCCGACCCGTGGGCGACTGGCCGGCACTCACGGCCGTCCTCAGGTGCCCATGGACCAGGTCTCCCCATCCACAGGTGCCTACGGACCAGGCAAAAGTAGAGGCGGTGGCTGTGCCAGAAGCTGGTGGAGATGCCACCACAGATGCTCCTGCGCGGAGGTGGCTGCTGGAGGGACCCAGTGGCCCTGTGGTGGCTGGTGCGGAGCTGGGCAGGAGCCCCGTGGAGAGCGACCAGCGCCTCTTCTCCAGCCTCTCCGCCAAGGGCCTCCACACCGTCATGTCCCCGCTGGCCAAGAAGAAGCTGCTGGCCCAGGTGAGCAAGGAGGAAGCTCTGCACTGCCCCAAGCGCCACTGCCCTGCGAGCCGCGCCGCTGAGCCCGCCTGCCAGCGCGACGAGCGCCAGAGCGCGGAGGCGCCCGGAGGCGCGGGGCGCCCGAGCCGCTTGCCGCCGCCTCCCGCCGTCTTCACGGGCTGCTTCCACGCGTACGGCCCCGGGACGCTGCCGGCGCCCGGCTGCCGCCCGCTGCGGAGCCGCCACTGCCCCTCGCCGGAGCCCTCGGAGCCGGGCTGGAGCGGGGGGCTGCTGCCGGGCGGCCGCGGGGGCCCCGGTGCCACCCTGGCCACCGTGCAGGCCTGCTGGGTGCCCCCCGGTGCCGCCTCGGCCCTAGTGCCCCCGCGCGCTGAAGTCTTCACCTTGCCGGCCGTCTCCCGCTTTGGCAAGGAGGCTGAGGAGCAGGAGAAGGGCGCTGGGCACCCAGTGGCCAAGCCCAAGGCGGTGGTAGCCACCCACGCGGCCCCGCTGGGTGCCGGGCTGCCGGACGCTTACAAGGGCGCGATGCTGCGCCTGCCGCCGAGCACGGGCAGCGGCCCGGAGCGCCCGGCGCCCGTCCACCCCGTGCTCATCCCGGCCTTTCCCCGCCCTGTGGTGGCCGCAGCGGTGCAGCCGGGCCGGCCGCGCGCCTCCGGAGGCGGCCACTATCCGTACGAGGGCTCCCTGCGGCAGCGGCTCTACGGGTGGCCGGCGCAGTCCGCCTTTTACCGGCACAGCGCCCTGTAGCGCCCGGGCGCGCGCGGGGCCCTGGGCGCCCGGCTGCACCCAAACGCAGCCCTGGCTTCGGAGCCGGCAGGGACTGCGAGACGCGCTCCGCGTGGGGCCGCTTCTCCTTAAGGGCCGTGCCTATCCGGCATCATATGCTGGTGACCAGTATCTCAAGGAGCTATATTATATATATATATATATTTTTTTATATATATATATATAAAACAAAGGGAGCAAAGTGAAGTGCAGAGATCTCTATTTTGCTAAATGTGCCGGATGCTGGAAGCTCTTGGCCCGGGGAGGATGCCAAGCCGGGCAGGAGCTGGTCCCAGCTGGCTGCTTTGGGCCCGGGGAGCCCACGCTGCTCCCTATTCCCAGCCTGGAGCCCCAGCTCCTTCCTATCAAGCAATGCAATTTTTTTTAGAGAAACCAAACAGAAATATAACCTATGTTGCCTCAAGCCTGGGTTTCCTGGGGTTATTTGGGCTCCTGTGGGTCTGGGATGATGTGGGAGCGTGAGGGGCCTCCGCGGATATCCGCAGAAAAGGGGCCAGGAGTTCTGCCGAACTGGTGCTGAAAGTGGCACCCAAAATAAAACTGGGCAGATGGTCCCAACCCGGCGCCATTCGGAGTGGCCTTGATTTGTGGAACGGGGTTGGGGAAGCGGGATGGGGATGGAGATGGAGAGACAAAGCCCAGAGGCGCCTCTGGAACCTTGGGACCTACCTCTGGCTGCCCTGCATCCTGCTGGATGCTCACTGGGAGTTGCAGGGGGTTGGCCTCCAGTGCCACCAGGGAGACACTGGGGCCTGCCAGTCCCCAAAGAGGCTTGGGGTACAAAGTGGAAACCCCACTTGTGTGCGCTTCTGTTTCCGTGCAAAGGAGAAAACGTGGCATAAGGAGCCGGAAACCAGGATCACCCCATGGCAACGCTCTCGCTCCGAGCTGCTGTTAGCGCCAGGGCACGCACGGGGCAGCGGGGCTTCACGGGCTGCTGGGCGGCCCCTCGGACCTCCGTGCGCACCGGGCTGGGTACGCATTTGTGCCATGCCCGGGGCACCCGTGCACAGCAGGACTGGGCGCCCTGCGGCCCCCCCTGTGGCTCCCCGGGGATCCCGTGGGTATCCTATGGGCCTCTGTGCAGCCCCACGAGGCCTGTGATTGCATGGAGCCCCCCTGCCCACCGAGCCCCTGTGGGGTCCCGGGCACCGGCAGTGCCCCCGAGGGCTGGCCACGAGCGAGACAGTGCTACCAAACAGAAAGGTTTATCGAACAGTGGCAGCACCAGCTGCCTCCTCCTCCCGCCGCAGCCCTTACTAGGGCTTGTGTGCCAGGGCGGGCCCGGCGGCCAGGAGTGAGGAGGCGGCCAGGCCGCTGCCCAGCGTCACCAGCGTGGCCCTGGTGCCCGCGGGCAGCAAGTGCCTGCTGGGCAGCGGCTCCCCGGCGGGCGCGGGGGGGCTGCCGCTCTCCAGCACCGAGGGCACCCGGCCCAAGGGCTCCACGGCCGCCGGGGCACCCTTGCCGAGTCCCACCTTGTCGCCCAGGTGGCCCAAGGGTCCGTCGCCCTTGAGCGGGGCCAGCGTCGACGTCAGGATGAGTGTCTTGGAGGCGGCCTGCAGGACCTTGGCGTGGCCCAGGCCGGCGGGAGGGCTGGGGGCGAAGGCCACGGCGCCCGTCGGGGAGCCGGCGCTAGGCGAGGACGAGCAGGAGGAGGAGGAGGAAGGCTGCAGGCCCGGCAGCCTGAAGGGGACGGAGGGAGCCTCGGCCATCACCGACTTGGTGAGCGCGGAGAGCTTGGCGTCCGACATGACGTAGAGCGTCTTCATGGGGCTCGTGCTGGTCACTGCGGAGAAGGACACGGAGCGGTCAGGGGAGGCGGGCGCTCAACACACCCTCCCTCATCCCTTCTCCAGAGCCAGGCCCCACGAGTGCCCCCAGAAGCGTCCCCTCGTGTGGGGAGGGGACGGCAAGGCCGCGCGCCCTCCTCTGTCCCATCCTGCCCTGGGGACCAGGCCCTCGTGCGGCTCCGGCAGCCCCGGCGGGCGAGACGCTCACGGAGGAGCTCGGGGGCCATCCCGCTCCACCGCAGGTGGATAAAGGATCCCAGGCCCCACAAAATGATGCCCTTCACCCTCCTCTTCCTCACGTTGCAGGCAGTGAGGGAAGTTCCTTCCAAGGACCCCCTCCTTCCAGGTCAGTCCCCTGGCTGAAATGCAGCCCCCAACCATGTCGGGGGGCACCGCGAGAACGGACGCGAGCGCTGGCACCAGGAGGGCACAAGGACACGTCCCCGAAAGGACATCTGGATGTGCGCAGAGCAGGACCTGCTGCCGGCTGAGCCGCCCCGCGCCCCCCGGGGCTCTGCCGAGCGCCCAGCCGGGCGCTGCCAGCTCCCACTCGCCCGTGGCGGCGGCCGCGGCGGCCCCGGCGCCAGCCCCGCTCTGCACCGGGGCGCTGGGCTCGGAGCCCGCAGGAGACCGACCCTCCAGAGTGGGTCTGGGACAGCACAGCAGGACCAGGAAAGCTCCCGGCTCACCCCTTACGGAAGCGGCACCGCTTCCTTCCTCATGCGTCACGCCAGTCCTTAGGCCTGGCCTAAGTGCTCCAGTGCCGCGGGCCTCTCCGTTCACCTGCAAATCCCCGGTACGGCGCGATACCGAACCACCAAGAACAGGCACCTTCCTACCAAAGGTCTGGAGGGTGTTGGGGACAGCGTCACTGCCCCACGGAGCTCACGAGCGCGACGCTGCTGGCTACGAGCTCCGCAGCGTTGACACGGAGCCGCTCACCCTTGGCGAGACACCAGGACTGACATCAGAGCTTTGCGGAGGCCGAGTCCCCTCCGCCTCCAGGCTAACCTAAGTCTTCCTCGACTGCTCAGAAAGGCTGCCCGGTGCCCAACGGGGCCGGCACCAACCCATGCAGCGGAACCGCCGCCGGCCTAGACATAAGCAGCGCCCAGCTGTGGCCCGGGGCCTGGCCCGCGCCCCGAGTGCCACGCGCCTCACCTAGGGGTGCTGCGGCCGTCAGGCGGGCGGCGGGGTCGGCGGGAGCCATCTCTGCGCCAGCCTGGGCTCTGCCGGGATCCACGGGAGGCAGCCGCTTGCCCGGAGGGGCGGCGCTGGAAGCGGCCGAGCTGCCAAGGGCGCCGTCCGGAGCCTGGAAGGGTTAGAGCAACGGAGAGGTGCCGCGAGCGCGCGGGGCTCGGCGCAGCGGCGCCCGCCCGGCCGCGCGGACAGCCCTCTCCCCGGCGCCTCTCGCTCCGCTCCTCGGCTCCCGACTCCACGCAAAGGCCACGGCGCCAGCGGGCACTGCAATAGGGGCCTGGTGCCATTCGCTGTCCCGGCGCTGCCAGCTCCTCTCCTTTCTCACCCGCGCTCCTCACAGCCAACTGTCCTGCACCGCCTGCAAACGCTCAGCCCAAGACCGCGCTGTTCCTGATGCTTGTGCAAGCCACAACCTGCTCTTCTTGGCCTCTTCCTGCAAGACGACAGTGCCCCGTGGCTCCCAGGCTCCACGTTTCTGCCCCCGAGGGCTGTGTTAAGGCAGAGATGACTGCCCCAAGCACCCATCACGCGTGTGAGCATCAGCCACACCGAAACGTCAAGCAATGAACTGCATCGTCCAGGGATCCAGGAGACGTTTGGTTATGCTGGAAGCCTCCTGCAGTGGGCTCCAAGGCAGGGGAAGAATGTCCCCATTCAACACCACTCGTGGTTTTAAGGTGTTTTTAAGCAGCCCATCTCAAAAGTTTGCATCACAGCATGGAAAGGAGAAGCCTGGAAAGAAGTATCCTCTGCAACCCTCCTTAGACCAAGAAGGTTCATGGATTCACCACTTCCAGTCATCGTGGCAGTTACATCTTTGACATTAGCACCCCTTGCAAGCAAGGGCCCAAGATTGCCGGGTTTTTACCCAAAAACCCCTGAACTCCCTAACTTTTGCTTTGCTACTCGGACACATCCGCACCAAGCTCTCGGGGAAGGTTCCTCCACTCTTCTGCTTCACACCTGAAGTCCACGGGGGAAAGAGCTGCCGGCTCCAACTGCACCCCGGCTGCTCCAGGCACCACGAGGGCTTCCCGGGCGCTGGAGCCTCAGAGGGAACCCAACCAGCAAGAGCTTTTGCTGCTGCCGACAACACGCGAGCTCAGGCCGTGGGGTTATCCCCCCGAAGCCTTTCTAGAAACGGGCTCTTTATGGGAACTGCTGCTCCTTACGTTGTGCTCCACACTCCAGGCACACACGACGCGCGGCAAGGACGAACGCTGGTTACAGAAACACGCAGCTCACGCTGTTCCCTGGCAAAGCCGGCTTGTGGTTGGTTTTTGAGGAGCGGTCGCAGCCAGATGCAGAACTGGGCCCGCCTGGGACCTCCAAACCCAGCGCTGGAGGTGAAAGTCACACCTGGGATGGAGTGTCCTGCTTCGAGTGTCACCACCAGAACAAACACGAACCTCTGCAAGTCCCTGGAGCCCAGCTATGCTGTGTCCTGCCACTGTCACTCACTGTTCTGCCAAACGTGTTGAGGGCAGAGCGAATGGGAGCTGCTAAGTTAAGCCATGAATCCTTCATCTGAAGGCTCAACAACCCCTCCGGATGCCACCTTCCCTCACGTTACCTCAGGGCTTCCAGCAAGCCCAAAGAGCCAGCAGCAAGGAGCAGAAGAGCATTCCCTGCCTCCACCACCTGCAGCTCGGGTTTTTGGATGCCTTTTGCTAGGGATGCTCATCCAGGACGCAAGGACCGCTCTGCATCTCATTTGCCTGCTGGTGCGACCGGTGGTCCCCACTCTGCAAGCGCTTTCGACATCCCCGGACTGAAGCCCGGTTTGATTCAAGGCTCTTGGCCTTCAGCAGTTACTTACCCCCAGGTTTTGCCTGCTGAAGCAGCTCTGCATCCTCGGGGCAGCTCCTTTATGCTGGAACTGCCCCCATCTCAAACCAGAACCAGCCCTGCGCTACCTACCAAAACCCACCCTGCAGCCTCAGCCAAGAGCAGCCCTTCCTTCAATGTCTCCTTCAGCACAACCGCTGCTCTTCTCAAGCATGTCCTCATCTCGGGGAGAGGACCTGCAGGACGGATGTGACTGTCACACAGCGTCGGAGCTCAGGTTCCCATTCAAGATGGTCCAAGTTACAGTACGCAAGACTGCCACCTTCAGTGGTAAAATCTTCTCCAGCTTGACATCTCATAAGTCTCTCCTCCTCGGCTCTCACAGCCAGGAAAGTGTGGAGCTTCAGCAATAATTTCCATGCTGATGGCAGCTTCTGAAGCCCAGAGAACGAGTGATAACCTCGGTGCAGTACTAGTGCAGTAACAAGTACAAGCTCAGGAGAAGACCCTGCGATCAAGAGACTTGACGGACAAACGTCCTCCTCTACCCATTGCCTTGCAAGGCTCCTCTCACCCCAACACATGGCAATACAGTGGCCACCACACCACAACAAAACTCATCACACTCAACACTGATGGAGGAACCAAGACCTTGTGTCCCTGAAGCTCATGCTTCTGTTGTCCACCATGGTCATAGAAGGCTCAGGGTAGCAGTGGACAACTTCTCGACAGAACAGATGCCACAAATTACCTGTGGTGCTTGTGTCTGCATGGGCTGCTCCTCGAGCTGAGGCTGGATGGCGCCCATGGCAGCCTGGCTAAGCGCGGTCACTCGGCTGGGCTGCCCACGCAGTGTCACAGTAATGGTCGTCGGGGCCTTCAAGCCTAGCAAACAAACAGGAGAAGCTTCCTTGAGGCATGGGCTTGAGGCCACATGCCACCAAGCCAAGACTCCAGCAAAGACCAGGAGCTTCCCAAAGATTGCCCATCAAGATTCCCACCAGCTACAGCTCCAGGAGCACCAAAAACACAAGGTGAACTTTGGCAGTGCCCATGTGAAGGACAACGGCCCTCCTCGCCTGCCTGTCCCCCTCACCTGCTGCCTGGTTGGAGATCTGGGCCAAGCCAGGGAGACTGCTGGCCAGCTTTGCCAGCCCCCCGTTGGTGAGCAGCTGGTGGATGGCAGTGGGCTTCCCGCTCGCCGAGGCTCCCAGGGACAAGGAGGTGGCAACGGGGATGGTGCGGACGATGGTGCCGGTGCCCGTGGTTATGGTGCTCAGGTTCTGGATAGGTGTGGGTGTCTTCACAGCTGAGCTCTGGCAAGGAGAAGCAGGGTGAGGATCTGCAGGGGAACGGGAGGCGCGGGTGGCATGGCCTTTCCCCCTCCAGAAGCTGCAGATATCAAGGACAGCTTCATTTAAGGGGCAGCGAGCAGGTTAAAGAGCAGATAAGGTTGTCCCTTCCAGTCTGGAAGCCCTCGTTTCCACTCAAAAGCATTCCTGGGAGAAGCTGTGGTTCAACCGTGCAATGAAACATCCCCTTCTGAACAAGGTCTCCCCAGAAAGGGCAGGGAATGCTGCCTAACACAAACAGAAATGCTCATTTTTTCCCTCCTCCAGATGAACAAGTCTCTGAATCCCCAAACTCCTTCTCCGAGGCCTTCTCAACATTTAATAAACATTTGCCCAGTTTCGTGTACAACTTCCCAGGGCCTGTTTTCCAAAACTCAACACCACTTACTGGCAACCCAGAGTCCAAAGCTTGGGTGCGTCACCCCAACCGCTGCTCACGCCTGGAATCCCTCATCATTCCCGGGCCCAGAACACGTGTGGTCTATGGGGGTTCCCTCCTGCTGCAGCTGCTACTGCTACCACCCTCCACGGAGCTTCCCATGGGAGTGCGAGGTGCAAGGAGGCCACGTACCTGCACGGGCGAGCCGGCGGCCGGCACGCTGGCCGGGGACTTGGTGCCGATATCCTGCAGGCTGAAGCTCAGCCCTTGCAGCAGGCTGCTGGCAGACCCTGCTCCTGAGTTAAAACATAATAAATACAAAGTAGTCAAGGGGGAGAATTAACCACAGCAGCGGGAATCTGTTCTTTAAAGAGCGGCTTCCCCAGTATTCTGACTCCAGGCCAGCAACGATCCTCCTGGCCCTCGTGGTCATGCAGTTCGTTATGTTTCACTGAGGCCGTAAAATGAGGGAGGAATTTGAGCACAACGGCTGCTCCCGTTGCCCCAGATGGGGGTTCAGTATCTCAAGGCATCGCTGTGTACAAACGACAACGCAACCAACAGCTCACGTGCTGCTCGTGCAACCTCACTCCCGCAGCCCACTGCGTCTCCTGGCCGAAAAACCACCAGGGAACGCAGACAAAACAAAGAGACTCCACCGAACGATCTGGAACCCGGTTTACCTTTTACACTCCCAAGAGACAAGGGGAGAGGAGGTACCTTGGAGGGTACTGGCTGGCTGGGCTTGCACGCAGTGGGCGCCGCTGGCCACGAGCCTGCTCTGCAGAGCGTGGAAAGCGCTGGGTGCTGCGCTGCCGGCCATGGCCCCGGGCGTGCAGGCGCCGCACGTCTCCGCCGCCGCGCTCAACCTACGAGGAAGCAGAGGAGAAAGGCTCGAGTTAGGAACGGGCTACAGAGAGGGCGATCCTAGAGGCTCTGGCTGTCCCTGATCTAACCTGATGCCATGGGCCTTCTGGAAGTGCAAGGCAGGAAGATGACAAGCTCAAAAAAAGCCTAAACAAGAGAATTTTCTCTGTGTACATCATAGCAACCAGAGCCACAAGCACCCCAGGCAAAATCTGTTTATATTCAAGTGGAAGTGAATTTATTGCACGGGTAAGGTTACCTACCTGCCGCAGTGCAGCCCTGTGCAAAAGGGATCCAGCTTAGAGAGAAGCTTTTCTATGATCTACTCTACAGGGGAGCAGCTCTTCTCTCCCTCTGGTCCACCTGGTTCTCCAACGTACAGGGTGGACTAAAGAAAACTGTGTCAGCAGCAAACTCTCCAAAAGAAATGCTTGTGGCAAGTCAGCTTTGGAGACTCGTCTACTGGCGCTTCCTTCTTCTGCCTTGGGGAAGGAAAAGCTTTGCTGCCAGATGGGACGAAGTTGTAAGGAATCAGAACATTTTCTATGTAGTAACCACCTGCTAAGAACGAAAACAAACTCACTTTGGGGTGGTGAGCAGCCCCGACAGCTCCTTCGCACCTTGCACAGCCTGGCCAACAGCCCCGGGCACCGGCTTTCCGGCAACAACTGCAAGAGAAAAAAGACAAAAACCTCATTTTCTGGCCTGGAAAGGTCTCGCGGGAGCCCCGTCTCTCGCACTGCCGCGGAGCTGCAGGTCCCAGGCCGGCTCGCAGGCTGAAGGCGCCGGCCACGGCGCGGCGGGAAGCCGGAACCGCGGGATCCGAGAGGAACCGCGCAGGACAGAGAGGCGCCGCGGCCGCAGCCGGGGTGGCCCTCGCCACCCAGTTAGCTCCTCCACAACGCTGCCATCTCCACGGGTGCCCTCCTGCTAAGGGCAGCCTCCTTGCACAGACCCGCTGCCGCGGGGCTTCGCTCGCGGGCGCCGGCGCGATTGCCAAGCCGTGGATTTTGCCAGCTTTCTTTAGTATCTTTACAAAATACACAGGGATGCGGCGAGTCACAAGATGTGTTTATTGCAGCCTGGGGGGATACAAGCGCGTTTGTCGCGTGCACTCCTCCTGCTCGCACCCGGTAAGAGGGAATTCTTGTTTGCTGCTGCAATTCATTTCCTTTCTGTGGAAAGAAGTAAAGTTGGAAGAATTAAAAAAAAAAAAAAAACGCTCTGGAAACGAGAGATTTTCAAAGCTGCCAGAAGAGCAACTTTAGAAAAGGACTGAGGATTTATTAGTTGATTTTCACAGTACAAGCCAACTGTGCAATTAAGCAAGCAGTGCTTTGGGAGGAGCGGAATCGCTCCCCAGCTTTGAACACCTCTGATTTCCCAGTCGGAGGGACGTGCCGACCCTTCCATCCTGCTAACGCTAAATCACGAGCGACTGCTCTGCAGAGGGGCTCTGTGCTGGGACGGGGACAGGCCGTGTCCACACCGACCCAGCGGAGTCCTTGAAAAGTGAACGTCACCATGGCCAAAGCTTCTGGCCTCGCCAAGGCCGCACTTGTCACGTCTTCTTGGGCTGCACGGAACTCCATGGGGCTCCTCGATGGGGAATTCTTGGCCACAGAGGCAGAAAAAGAGCTGGAATCTGTCAACGTGGAAACCCAATGTGCGTGGCGACAGGTTCTGCATCCCGCGTGGCCCAAAGGGTGAAGCCTGCAAAGCCTGAGGGGGCTCGGACGGTCCCGAGGGAAGCAATGCTGCGGTTGTCCATAAAGCAGCTCCCCATGGAGCGCACGGCGGTGCAAGCGAAGCCTCCTCGGAGCAAGGCTCTGCCGGGAGCCGCATCCCGCTCTCGGTGTTTTGGGAGACGGTGCGAAGATCATCCTAGAGCGCGAGCCCCGAGGCGCGCGACGCCAACCACACACGAGGACTCGCCAAGGGCACCGCGCGGCCCCAGCACACCAAGGGCCTCGCAGCCGTGTCCCTCAAGACGCTTTCTGCCATCACCTCCTCCACAAAATCCTTCCCTCCCGCCCCAAAGCCGTGTCCCGGAGGACGCGGCGCGGGCAGAGCCGCTGGCTGGCCAAGCGGCCGGGGAATCGCAACTCACTTTGCGGCGGGGCGGTGAGGGCCGCTCCGCTCCCCGCACCGGCAGCATCTCCGGGCGAGACAATGGTCACCTTGATTTTGGCTCGTTTGGCGGATTTGCTGCACTGGCTCGGGCTCGGGGGCTGGTGCCTCTTCAGCTGCGAGCGCCCATCGTCTTTCTCAGCCCCTTCCGAGGGCTCGGAGGAGACCGGAACTGGGGGACACAGAAGTAGCTTTTTGAACCCCCCCCGTGTCCTCGAGGCCAGCGCAACTCCGCTGCGCGCCCCGGGGTGCGGGGAAGGACACATGCCCATGCACACGGCTGCAGCTCTCATGCGCCAGGAACCCCTCTCGTCTCTCGGCCACCTACGCTGACCTCTTGGCACACTCCGATTTGCTCCTAGGGCACCAAACCGAAGCGGGATCGTGGACAGAGCCCACGCGGCCTTTCAGCAAGGAGGAACAGCAGCTTATGGTGGTAAGAGCTTTGCAAGCGCCTCTCATTTCCAAGCAGGGGATCCCTGATGCTGCCATCAGCTCCTTCCAAGGGAGGCCTCCAAGGCGCAGCCTCCCCACTGCCCCGCAGCACCAGTGGCCGGCACGTCCCTTCCAGCAGCGGCTGCAGCCACGCGGCACCCAAGGCGCCGCAGCAAAACCGCACGCCAAAGGGCTTGGGAGCCAGTGGGAAAGCCGGGACTGGGGGCTTCCCTTGGGCGCGGACGGCTCCCCGGGCTGGCGCAGCCTCGAGCCCATCGCGTCGGCTCCATCCTGCCGCAGGCCCAGAGCACGAGCCCGGAGCTAACGGGGCTCCCTCCATGGCAGCTCCTGCAGACACTCTCTGAACATGCCAAGTCCAACAGTCCCAGGCATCTAAATTCAACCGCCTGGAGGGCAATCACAGCACCTACCTGTCTCTAAGCTGTGGGTGCAGGACAAGACGCACCCAAACCCGTAATGTTTGGGGAGCACACGTGTTTTGGAGCTGCCCTGGTGCCCGAGTGCCACAACGCGGTGCCAGCAGCCCAGCAGGACAGGGCAGGGACGCGTGCCCGGGCGGTTTGGTGTCCCCAGAGCCGGTGATGCCGTGTCCCCCGTGCGAGGGGCAGCGGCCTCGCAGCCCTTCCCGGGGTGAAAGGCGTCTCGCCGCAGGCAGCACCTGGCAGAGGCTGCTGTGCCCCGGGGCACTCGGGCACCCCGCGGCCGCCAACGCTGCCGCCCACGTCTTGGCTTCCCACCCTGCAGCTCGGGGGGCAGAGCCGGAGGAACGAGCCTCAAGACTCAAAAAAGTATCTCCAAGGCTGAACGGAATGGAAAGGGCACGAGGCCGTGGCCAAATGGCAGCTGACGACGGATAAGACATGGATAAAACCCTCCTCCATGGGGGTGTTTTTCCCTGTCCTTGTGGCTGCCGAGCCTTGCTCGCTGCCGAGCCACAAAGATCCTCTCCCCCAGGCAGGAGAGCCACCAGCTCGGCCTGCGGGTCCTCCTCGCAGCAGACACCGCGTGGGAAGAGTCTGGGTAAATAGAGGGCTTTGCCACCAGTTCCTCTGGGTCAGCTCCCAGGCTCATCTCCTGGCACATGGAGGGCACAAAGTCTGTCCAAAGCGAGGCTCAAAGGTGAAAGAGGCCCTCAAAACAAGCAGCTCAGCCCAGTACTCACCTCAGGGCTTCATTACCATGGTTTCACCCATACCCTGTGGGCTTCAAGGGCCGTGGGGAGCCCTAGGAGCCCCCAGAGAGCACCCCAGAGCACCACAGTCAAGTCGGCTTTGGCAAGCTGGAGCAGCACAGGCAGCTCCCACCCGCAGCAACGTCCTCAGTCACCTGGGCTCACCGCAGCTGGAGGTGACAGTGACAGCTCCCGCGATGACACGACCTCTCAGAGCCCTGGATCTCAAGCTGCCCTCCTCGCCCAAGCCCAGGCACGTGCAGTAACAGCCGCCGCAAAGAGCAGAACGTACCTCCGGCCTCGGCGCCGAGCCCTCGGAGGGCCGGACGCGCCGGCTCCAGCACCCAGCACAAGAGACTGCAGGACTGGAGACGGCTCCTGCCTGCTCTATCCAAAGCACCCGGCAATTCCTCCTCTCTGCGCCCGCAGGCGGCAGGACACTGCACGGACACCCACCATCTCCCAAGCCGGAATCCACCTCCCCTTCTCAGCCCCGGCACCCAACAGGGTTATAGTCACAACCACACGAAGCCACCACTTCATCCGCAACCTTTTAGTCCATCGGAGGGAAAACTGCTGCCCGGTTACGTGGCTCCACGAGCAGCACTTCCCTCCCGGGGCAGGGAAAGCGGGAGAGCTCAGGAAGGTTAATGCTCTTAGCCAGTATTTGCTTTAGCTTCGAGGACGGCAGTGGGAAAGCAAAAAGCAGGGGAGGGACAAGGGGAAACATCGGACTACACGTCCCAAACGAATGCAAGGGAAGAGGAAGATGGTGAAAGAAGGTAGCGCAGAGACAGAGAGGAGGAGGGAGACGGAGAGAGACAGCAAGAAGTGAGGAGATACTCACCAAAGAGACATGAAGAGGTGCCAGGAGGAAGAGCTTTCCTCACCAGCATGTTTTGTTTCAGAAAAGCAGCAAACTGAGCTGAAATGAATGAGAGAGAATTACAGTATCACAGCCCGGCTCTGGAGGGGGCAGCGAGCCAGGGCCGCGCAGACAGAGCGCTCGGCGCAGGCGAGCGCAGAGCCGGGCGCAGCTCCTCGGGGAGCATGGAGACGCTGGGCGCTCCTTTCCGCACGGATGCGGAGCTCATCCCGCACTGCAAGGGGCATCCGCGCTCTTGCTGCTGTGCCCGCTGTTGCGGGGAGCACATCCCAACAGCACGAGCCTTCTCCAGCCCCCGGCAAAGGCCCAGCTCCCAGGGAAGGGGAGCCGGCCGGTGGCAATAGAGACCGTGTGAGGTACTATCCATACAGCTTAGCTCCAACACGCAGCCGTGGCTAAAAACTGGGAATACTTGACAAGAACCAGCCAGGTATCCCAGCTCCTCAACGCCTTCCTGCCTCGAAACCCGCACCAAACATCCCGCTCCGGACACAACACACCGGCCACAACACCCGCCGCTCCGCAGAGCTTCCTCCCGCGCGCTGGCCAGGAACCCGCCTTTGCAACTTCTCAAAAGCGAAGGAGATTTTATCCATACCCAGAGAAATAAGCAAAATCCAGGTCTGGATTTCCACCAGAGTCTGGCCTGAGTAAAACCCCAGAGCACACGGAGGATCACACTGTCGGCGGGGGTAACAACAAGCCTCTTGCCCATCGCTGGAGCAAGAAATTAGGAGAGATGAGGGATTTTTTAATCTTTAAATTAGCACCCAACAGCACGAGAAACAGCTCAAAATAATCTTCCTCTCAGCGCGTTTCCCTCTGCCATCTGATCCCGAATATTGCCATTACCCAAAACCAGTGACTCGGTCTACTTCAAAAAGTCTCAATAATCATCTCCCGAGCACCTTTTAATTCCCAAGTGGCCTTTCCTGGCAGATCCCGGTCAAGGGACTCACACCCAAACTAAAACCACGGCATGGCTACGTGACGACTCGTGTCACCCTTTGAAGGGTGGCAAAGCCCCTGCTGGAACACCACTTCCAACCTACAGACCAAGCTCTGTGGCTGCTGCCTTCAGAGGATGGCAAAAGGGGACTGAGCTGTACAGAAAACGGCTGCAGGAAGCTTGCAAAGCAAGACAGGACTGGGGAGACAAAACCTAAGCAAGTCTGGGCAGAGAGAGACCCAAAACACTGAGGTGGAAGAGGGGAGAGGCACGGGAGGCTGCAGGGCGTTACCTTGTGCCTGCTTGTGCGTCAGGACTGTGTCCGTCCTCGGGACCGGCCTCTTCAGCAGCTGCGTGCTGCAGATCTGGCTCGGCTTCTGGATGGAGGACACAGCAGCCATTTTCGTCTTGGGGCTTGAGGTGGGGCTGCTGGAGACGCTGGATAAATCCTGCTCGGAAAAGGAGGGAAAAGCTCTTACCCACACGTTTTCCTGAGCAGAGGCCAAGCACAACGATATGCAAGCGATAACACACGTCCTTACGGCGCTTGATCCCCGCCTACAAACTCATTCCCTACCAGGACAGCGTGCTCCAAAGGGCCTGCAGACCAAGGATGATGGCATCCCATTGTGCGACAATTTGCTTGGCTTCCCTCCATTTAAGAGGCAAAAAGCCCCCAAAAGAAGCACCTGCTTGGATTTTGTTGGAGCCCATTTTGGAAGATGCACCTGTGCCAGCACAAGCCCCAACCTCCTCCGGATCCTCTCCCAGCTCCAAGGCCAGCTCTCACGCTCTGTGTCCGCGGTACAAACACATCCCTCTCCACAACCTCAGCCTTCCCCAGCTCGGAGCAGCCCGGAGCGAGTTCCCACCTCGGAGCCCGAGGGCGAGGCGGGCACTTTGGCCGCCGGCGAGGCCGGCCTGCTGCTTCGTTCTGGCAAGTCAAAGGACAGGTCCCTCCTGGTCGAGTCGCGCGGCTTCCTCTTCTTCTCGGCGTCCAGGTCGCGGGGGTCGGAGCCCGAGTGGCTCTCCGCTCGGGTGAGGACACCGGTCAGGAAGTCGGCTATTTCATCCTGGTAGGATGAAACACACGGTTAGACTCCGTGCTGTGCGGGCCTCTAAACACCCGACCTTCATCGCTTACGAGAGAAACAGATCTTATTACAGCTTACAGCTGTAATTTCTTATTACAGCAATAAGATGTCAAAGGAAGACCTCAATCTTTACCTGGATACACCTGTCCACCATACTCTGGGTCAGGCCTTCGGACTTCTTTTTGGCTTTGCTTATCCTATTCAAAAACAAAACACAGAAGTCACCGCACGTTCGTGCTTCCCCATCCACACTTGCTGCACTATTCTCGATCTGAGTGTAATTTGCAAGCTTCAAGTTGGACACTGAGGTTACCAGCTCCCCCAGCACTCAGGAGGGACAACTAAATGGGCTCAACATCAGCGATATCAGTGCCAAAGCTTCACTAGAAGATTTCTTCTCCTTAAGAGCCTTGTCTTCAACCCCAATAGCTGAGTTTTACATTTCCTTATTTCTTCTCGTTTCCTTTTCCCTACCACAGATTTAAACGGACCAAAACCTTGTCCAGGTGACCAATAAAAAAAGAGTGAACTCGATCAGCTCGCAGCCCGTTACCTGAGATTGTCATCTGCTCCTCCCACCACCACCATGCTGTTATCGGCTCGGATTTTCTCACGGAAATCTTCCATCGCTTCGATGTTGCACTGCAGGGAATTCTGACCGATCACGAAGAGGACGGGGGTCTTCATCTCCAGGAGGGGATCATCAACATCCTGCAAGGGTAGCGGGACCTGTAAGGCTGCGGCTGTGCCGGCATGCAAAGCTGTTGGAGCTAAGACCTTCCTGGATTAGGCGAGTGCTTCCTGAACGGATCGACGTGCACCATGGCAGGGCGGGCAGCACTTCCCATGTGATCCTAACACGTAGCTACAGCGTCTTGCAGGGAGGGAAGTATAATTTGCATGGCTCATTAGGATAAGATTACCCACTCACGTGAGAAACCCCGACTCGGAAGCCAAATCCGTACACAGCATTGTTACTGTGAGTGCAGCTGAGACTGACGCTCTTCCCCACAGCCAGATACCCCATTTTGCTGCATTTGCTTTGAAATTTTTGAAATTTGAGCAGAGCCCTCAACAAAACTGTGCTCAAGGAGGACGCCCTAATTCCCAAAAAGGTCTCTGCACAGGAACAGTGTGAGACTTCCACTAAACAGCGAGTAAAGAAACTAGTTGGGCTTCATATAAACCACCCTAAGGTGTTATCTTGGCCGCCAAGTAACAGGTGACCAGTTACACACAAGACCCTAAGCTGGAGCTGCAAAAACACGTCAGAGCAGGGACAAGTAAACACGGGACTTTTCTTTCCTCGTTCCAATTATCACTGGACTTCCAAGCTGAATTCTATAAACAGCCTAAAGAGGTTAGAAAAGGCAGAGTTTCTTAAAGGCTCCCTGCTTTACTCCTTACCCCTCTGGGTCCATCCACCGTTAGGAGAGGGAAGCCAAGGCACACAACCGCAGTGACGTACTCTATCACTGAAACCTGCACACAAAAGCAACAGGTCAAGCCCTAGCAGACAAACGTATCCAGACTGCAAAGGCTGTTTTGCCAGGCACAGAAATATCTTCCATATTCACAGCTGGTTTTTTCTTGATTAAAAACTGGAGGTAATGAGGAACTCAAAATCCTTACTTCTCTCCTTTCTATCCTATTCCTTCCTCAGAAACAGAAAAGGAAAGAGAAGAATTCTCCAGAGTTTAAATGCAATAGTAACGCGCTTAAACGCTGCTGGCTCTGCTTAAATGCAAGCAGCGGAATCAGACCTGTCTTGAGGCAGTCTCCAGTTATAAATGAGTTTATGAAAAGGAGTCCAAGAGACTTTCTACTCCTCCAGATACGCTGTTATTCAGGATGCTGAACAGAACATACACTCATCAAGGTCTCCTTCCACCCAAAGGAGGGCAGGCTCTGGGAAATGGGTCGGTCTACGGGATTAATTGAAGCTCTTGAGCAGCCCCCGAAAGGATGTGAAACAAACTGGTACTTACGTGACAAGCCACCAAGGCACCAGTGTTCCACCCGATGAGGATGATGGGCTTGTGCGAGAAGTGGTTGTGAATCTACAGGAGAAAGAAAGGACTTAGATGGAAGAGAGACAGGCAGCGGGGTGATGTATCTGGGGGGGCCGAGCCTGTATGTGTGCAAGTTCTCCTACCTCGGCCACTTTGCCTCGCACCGCCCCGATCATGTGCTCGAGACACTGCAACACCCCCACGCCGCTGCCGTTGTTCAGCAGGTGGGTGGCAATGGGAATCACCTAGTTTGGAACAAAAGATGCATAAATAACAAGGGCGTTTCCAGGGAAAGAGGTACCAACAACAACCTAGATTGTGCAGGAACTTCTATGCTCTTTCTACCCCGTGATGGTTTGAACTTGTCCCCTTTCAAAACTAGAAACACAAACCTTTCCTAAGCAGGAAAGCTGCGACTGCCAGAATCGGTGCCGTCGAGAAGTGGGGAACATGGAGTTGGAGGGTCCAGAGGAAGCGATCAGGATGAGGGGAGAACCAGGCAATTTGCTCTGCAAAGTTCAACAGAGGCTGCATAAGACCCCCACGCCCCTCACTCGCACCAGGCTGTTCAGCAGGCACATCCTAGGCAAAGCTTCATGCAAGAGGACGTTCGCTCTACACCAGCTTGCCAGAAACTCCACACGGGCCACAACATTGTCCCAACGGGGCTGAGAAAGAAGGGTTAGCTGGTGACAGGCCCAACACAACCCCTGATAACTCCCGGGCGAGCTTAAAAGGTCATTCAAATGAGAGAACAGCAAGAGGAAAGCAGACCTGAGCACACAGGGCAGCAAGCTCACTCCCTGTGAGCCCCAAGAGATACTCACTGGTTTATTATGGGACAAGACACCCACTGCTGGGTCCCAAGGTCTCTTCAGCAGCAGAGACAGAGCCTCAGCTCCTGCTGCCCCCGTCTTCGTGGTCGAGGAGAGCAGCATCCTGTCGATCAGGGTGGGGATCTGAAACCAAAGGCCAGAGCGGGCTGAGAAAACGCACACAGCCCTTTCGATGGGCTTTGAAACTTCAGTTCTGCAGGCTGCGAAACACAACTTTGGCTGCTCTGTCAGGCAAGTTCCCGCTGTTCTGCAGAATTTAAAGAGCAGCAGTACAAGCAGCGCAAGATTCCCTTAGCTTCCTTTAGCGAGGCGTATCAAGGGAGAACGGGAGAAGAGATGGAAAGGTCTCTCGCTGGTTTTCTCACCTTTCCTTTAAGCGTTTGCAGAGCATCCAAGTAAGCAGCCAACACGGGCAAACTGAGGGTCTCCACTAATGTTGTGTGAAGCCACTGGATCAGTTTGGTGTCCCAGTTCACGCTGGCCAGAGCCTGGCGGACCCTCCGAGCACATTTGTCCACCGCTATCCTCCTCAGGACTGGCTCATTGCAAGCCTAAAGAAAAGGAAACGAAGATTAAAAGAAGGAAAAAATTCAACGATGCTCCACGGATCCCAAGTATTGACTTGGGCTGCCCACAACCCTCTGGCAACAAGGATGCACCCACATCCTCTCAGCAAAGGCAAAATCAGGGTTTTTTTAAGGCTGCTTTTTTAAGGCTGTAAAACCCAAGGCCTTTCATCTTGACTCAACATATCTTTTCTAGGGAGGACTGAATAAAAAGCACACGGGTGACAACCCCGACGAAAGGGTAATGGGGAATAAAAGCCTTTACCCCTTCGTTGGCCAAGCGAGCCAGCCTGTCAGACTGCAGCGCTTTGTGAATCTTGTTAAAGAGCTTGTTCTGGGCCATCGTCCAACCCGTCCTGTAGGGAAAAAACACAGCGGTAACGAGAGCACCTTGCACACACACCCAGCAGATGTTAGGGTCCCTGAAACCTCCCAGGAAACCTCCTTGCCCATCCCTAGGGCACGGCTGGCAATCAGCTACAGTCCCGAGAACTGATTTGTGGCTAAGGATGAAGTTTCACGACTAAGGATTTAAGCTAAGACAACAGCTCCACAAGAAGCCCTTCGTTTCTAAAGGGTGCCAGGTGGGACTGGTGAACACCAAAGCCTCACACGAGAGAAACAGCAGCAGCAAACAAGACAAAACCCATAGCTCCTTTTAGCAAAGGGTGAGGAACTCACCCAGTTCTCAGAGGAACTGTCCAAGAAAAGAGAAAAATCTCACTCCACCTGATGCCAAGGCTGCCAACGGGGATGGCTGCGGCTTCCAGGGAGTTCTCTTAAAAGCGGTGCATTACACGCCTCCATTTCTAACGTTGTGCTGTGGGTTACGCATGAACCGGGCCGGCCACGCGGCCCCTCGTACCTGTTGACGTGCTCCTCCCAGTCGTCGGGCGGCGGCGGCGCGTCCGCGTCCGTGCGCGCAAACATCACGTGCCGCTCGCACTCGTTCATCACGCTGCGCGCCTTCTGGTTGTCGTAGAGCGGCACCGCCGCCGCCGTCACCGTCTCCACGTCGATGGGCACGTCCGCCTCGCTGCAAGGAACGCAGTGGCCTCTAGAACGCGGGGCGCACGCCAGGGAACCCCCAAGCAGGCCAGGGAGCGAGCGGGACGCCTGGCAAGGACACTGGGAACTTATGGTTCCCCCCACATCTCCCCAAAAAGATGCTGGGACCAAGGGGACTGCGACAGGATCGCACTGTTTGTGACAGGTTTGCATTTACAGGCTACAATGTATAGAGACACTATAATACATACACATATATCTATATGGAGTCTTATTTCTGCTTTGGTTTAAGGCAGCTTGTGCTTTAAGCTCAAAAACCAATTGTGCTTTGGAAGCCTGGGCTCCTGCGGCCAGGAGAGCAACTTTTGCTGAAGAAAACGAGTTTTAGGGTCACAGCGCAGGATGGGGACAAGCTCCTTGCCAGCAAAGCCACGGAGCCCGAATCCCCGGCGTGGGGGACAGAAGCGCTCAAGACACGAGCGAGTCCTGCACCCAAAGGTGGCCGAGCCGCGTGCTGGGCACATCCCCTAACGTGGGGGCTCCTCGCAGGCCCCCAGCCCCACACCGACCCCCTACAGAGCCCCCAGCCCCACAGCCTTCCCCAGAGGCCCCACACATGGTCCTGCAGCCCCCCAGGAGCTGCCTCACTCCTCCCCTGAGCCCCCAGCCCCACAAGAGCCCTTCACTGCTCCCCAGCCCCACAAGAGACTCCCACTGCCCTCCACAGACCTCCCAGCCCCACAGCAGCCCCACAGGAGCCTCCTGCAGCCCCACAAGAGACCCTCACAGACCCCCAGCCCCACAGCAGCCCCACGGGAGCCTCCTGCAGCCCCACGAGAAACCCCCACAGACCCCGCAGCCCCACAGGAGCTCTATGGGAGCCTCCTATAGCCCCACAAGAGACCCCCMMAGMCCCCCAGCCCCACAGGAGCTCTATGGGAGCCTCCTATAGCCCCACAAGAGACCCCCACAGACCCCACAGCCCCACAGGGGCTCTATGGGAGCCTCCTGCAGCCCCACAAGAGACCCCCACAGACCCCCAGCCCCACAGCAGCCCCACGGGAGCCTCTCATAGCCCCATAAGAGACCCCCAATGCCCCCCACAGACCCCCCAGCCCCACAGGAACTCTATGGAAGCCTCTTGCAGCCCCATGAGAGACCCCCACAGACCCCCAGCCCCACAGGAGCTCTATGGGAGCCTCCTGTAGCCCCACGAGAGACCCTCACAGACCCCCACAGACCCCCAGCCCCACAGCAGCCCCAAAGGAGCCTCTTGCAGCCCCACGAGAGACCCTCACAGACCCCCAGCCCCACAGCAGCCCCACAGGAGCCTCCTGCAGCCCCACGAGAGACCCCCACAGACCCCACAGCCCCACAGGAGCTCTATGGAAGCCTCCTATAGCCCCACAAGAGACCCTCACAGACCCCCAGCCCCACAGCAGCCCCACAGGAGCCTCTTGCAGCCCCACAAGAGATCCCCACTGCCCCCCAGCCCCACAGGAGCTCTATGGGAGCCTACTGCAACCCCACGAGAGACCCCCACAGACCCCCAGCCCCACAGGAGCCTCCTGTAGCCTCCACGGGAGACCCTCACAGACCCCCACAGACCCCCAGCCCCATAGCAGCCCCACAGGAGCCTCTTGCAGCCCCACGAGAGATCCCCACTGCCCCCCAGCCCCACAGGAGCTCTATGGGAGCCTCCTGCAGCCCTCCCAGCCCCACAAGAGACGCCCACCGCCCCCCCAGCCTCCCCACCCCCGCCGCAGCCCCACGGGAGCCGCCAGCCGCCGCCGGCTCTCACAGGGCGCAGTCGGGCTGCCGCCGCGGCGTGACGAAGAGCATGCGGGTGGGCCGGGCGGCGCTGGCGTCGGGGTGCGCGCTCCAGGGCTTGGCGTAGCTGTGGTCGAGGCACACGAGGTCCAGCTCCCGCTCGTGCACCGAGAGCTGCAGCAGCAGCGACGTGCCCATCCTGCGCGCCGACCACTGCAGGTCCCGGTCCCGGTCCCGGTCCCGGTCCCGGTCCCGGTCCCGGTCCCGGTCCGCGCCGCGCTGCGACATGGCCGCCCCCCCGGGCCGCGCCGCGCCGGGCCTGCGCCGCGCCGCACCGCGCATGCGCCGCCCGCGCCGCGCAAAACGCGGCCTGGAGTCCCCGGCGGAGCGGAGCGGGGCGGGGCGGCGGGCGGCAAAACGAGGAGAGCGGATTGGGACGGAGCGGGGACACACGGAGCGGGGACACACTGGCGCGCATCCCCGCGGGATGCAACCCCGTGGGGACACTCGAGTACAATGGTACTGGGACATGAGGACACGTGGGCATGGCGCAACCCCCGAGGGTGTGCCATGGGACACACGGATAAAGGGCCATAGGGCATGGGCATCCAGGGGGACACATGGGCACGTGGACATGGGACGCACTCCTCCATGGGGACATAGGGACACGGTGTTGGAGGGACATGGGGACACATGGGCATGGCACCCACACACAGAGACACACGGATAAAGGGACAGGGGCACAGGGAGACACCATGGGTGCGCATGGACACAGTAACACGGGGATATGGGGACAAATGGGCATGGCATAACCCCCAGTGGGGACACAGTGACATGGGGACAGCTCCCCAAGGGGACATTCAGACAGCAGGACAAAGTGACATGGGGACACAGGGACATATCCACATGAGGACACAGGGACACAGTGAACAAGCACATGGCCATGGCACAATTCCCCTTGGGGATACACAGAAATAGGGATACAGGGACTGAGCGACATGGGGACACCTGGACATAGAGATAGATGGGCACAGAGCTAGGGTTGCACACTCCCAGTGGGGACATAGTGACATGGGGTGCCACAGGGTGCTATGGGTGCTGCAGGGTGCCATGGGATGCCACAGGGTGCCACCGATGAAGGGAGGTGACAGCAGCACCCTGGAGGTGCTACCTGCCCAGTGTGGGAGCCAAGAACCCCACATCCCCTCTCCTGCAGTCCCCCGATCCCACTGTGACCCAGCATTCCGGAAGGCACCAGTGCCCGGCACCCAGCGCCCGGCGCCTGGCACTGGTCCCTGGTGCCACCATGCTGCGCCTGGTGGTGACCAGCGCCCGCATCCCCGCACCGCAGCTCACCGGTGCGGACGTGCACGTGCGCGCCGAGTTCAGAGGTACCGCGCCGCGAGGACGTGTCCCCGCGGACACCCTCCTGGCACCCACTCGCTGCCACCCACCCTGTTCCAGGTGTCCCCAGGAGCACCCGAGTGGTGCCGGGCAAGTCTCAGACCGTCTGGAATGAGGTGAGGCCACACGGTGCCGAGGCCACCGCTTCCCGTGGCGCCCAGTTCTGACGGGGGACAGTCCCCGTGGTGCAGCAGCAGCTGCCCAATGTGGCGGCAAGTCCCCATGGGGGCCACTTCCCACTGGAGTGGCCAATTTCTGTGGTGGCAAATTCCCGTGGTGGCCGGTCCCTGTGGTGGCCGGTCCCTGTGGTGGCCGGTCCCCGTGGTGGCCGGTCCCTGCGGTGGCTGGTCCCCATTGTGGCCGGTCCCCGTGGTGGCCGGTCCCCGCAGTGGCCGGTCCCCATACTGGCCGGTCGCTACCTCGTGCAGACGCTGGTGTGGCCGCTGGGTCCCCGTCCCCTGGACACGACCTCTGAGGTGCTGCTGCGGCTGCGCCAATGGGGCCACCCCGCACCGGACGGGTGAGTGACAGCGACGGGGGACGCTGCTGCCCTCGGGGACCCCCCGCCACGACCGCGCTCCCCGCAGGGAGCTGGGCGCCGCAGCGGTGGCGCTGGGGCGGCTGGCGGCCGAGCCGAGCAGCGAGCTGGCCCTCAGCGCCGTCCCGCTGCTCACGCACGAGCGGCAGCCCACGGGGGTGAGCGCCTTCCTCCCCAGCCCGCTCCTCATCGTCACCGTCCCCCGCGCGCGGCGCCCGCGTGGTGACGGTGCCGTCACCCGCAGTGCACCCTGACCCTTCGCTGCGCCCTCGTCCCCGCCGGCCCTCCGCCCCGGGCGCCCAGCGCAGCGGCCGCAGGTGAGGACACCCCTGCCCACGGTGCCATCGCTGCAGAGCTGGGGACAAGGCCACACTGTCCCCACGCGCTGTCCCCAGATGGCCCGGACCGCAGCACCCATCCGAGCCCCGCAGCAGGGAAAAAACAGGACTTCCAGGTAGTGCCGGGCACCCTTTTGTGGGCAGGTGACCTGGGGTGGCACTTGTCCGCGTTGTCCCCGGCACAGGTGCGCGTGCGCATCATCGAGGGGCGGCAGCTGCAGGGCAACGACATCAGGCCGGTGGTGAAGGTGCTCATCGGCGAGCACGCCTTCCGCACGCGCATCCGCAGCGGCAACAACCCCTACTACGACGAGGTGGGAGCGGAGCGGGCGCGCGGCCCCGCGCCCCCCGCCCCCCGCCACCGCGGCCCCTTGTCCCGCCAGGTGTTCTGCCAAAACCTGCGCCGGACGCTCGCGCGCCTCTTGGACGAGCCCATCCTCATCCAGGTAGGGCGCCGCGGCGGTGCCGCCCGCGCGCCGCGCTGGCCACGCGGCCCATGCTGGCGCCGCCCGCAGGTGCTCAACTCCAAGGCAATGCGCGCCGAGTCGCTCATCGGCGTCTTCAAGGTGAGCAAAGGGGACCCTTGGGGACGCCTGGGGACAAGGCGCCGTGGCGGCATCTCCCACCTTCTCGCCCAGCTGGACGTGGGCAGCGTCTACAGCGCTCCCGGTAGGCGCCCGTAGCCGGCGGCCGGAGGCTCCCGCGGGCGCCGCGCACTCAGCCGCCCGCGCCGGCAGGCCGGGCGCTCGCTTGGAAGTGGCTCAGCCTCCACCAGCCCGAGCACCCCAACGCCGGCGTCCGGGGCTACCTGCGAGCCAGCCTGTGGGTGCTGCGTGCCGGCGAACCCGCGCCGGTGGGTGCCCCGCGCCGCCACGCGCCGCCCGCCGCTGCCGTCCGCACCCGCCGCCGCTCTCGCCCCGCCGGCAGGAGCTGGAGGCGCTGCCGCCGAGCGAGGACGTGGAGGGCAACCTGCTGCAGCCAGTGGCGCTGCCCGGCCGCGTGGCCACGCTGCAGCTGCGCGTGTACCGCGCCGAGGACGTGCCGCAGGGTGAGCGCGCCGGCCCCGCGCCCGCGCCACCCCGGCACCGGCCCCGCACCGCTTCCCATCCCGTCCCCCTGCTGCAGAGGATTCGTCTCGGCCCCATTTCCCGCCGATGCTGCCGGGGAGCAAGAGGAACAGCCTCAGCGTGGAGGCCACTTTCGCCGGCAGGACGGTAGGCAGCCCGCGCGGGGATGGGATGCGGCCATGGCGCGCTCGTGGCACACTGGTGCGGCGCTCGTGGCACGCTGGTGCTGCACCCTCGCTGCAGTCACGGCACTCTTGTGCTGTGCTCAGGGTGCGCACATGGCACGTTTGTGCTGTGCTCTGGTGCACACATGGCACACGTGCTGCGCCCTTGGTGCGCTCACGGCACACATGTGCTGTGCTCCTGGTGCACACATGGCACACGTGCTGCGCCCTTGGTGCAGTCCTGGCACACATGTGCTGTGCTCTGGTGCACACATGGCACACGTGCTGCACCCTTGGTGCAGTCCTGGCACACACGTGCTGTGCTCTGGTGCACACATGGCACGCGTGCTGCACCCTTGGTGCAGTCCTGGCACACATGTGCTGTGCTCTGGTGCACACATGGCACACACGTGCTGCACCCTTGGTGCACTCACGGCACACATGTGCTGTGCTCTGGTGCACACATGGCACACACGTGCTGCACCCTTGGTGCAGTCCTGGCACACATGTGCTGTGCTCTGGTGCACACATGGCACACACGTGCTGCACCCTTGGTGCGCTCACGGCACACACGCTCACGGCGCGCTCGTGCCACAGCTGCACACCCGGGCCGTGCTGCCCACCGCCAACCCTGAGTGGAACGAGGTGCTCTTCTTCCCGCTGCGGGTGAGCCGAGTGACCCTGCCGGGGGACACCGCTGGGTGACCCTGCCGGGGGACACCGCTGGGTGACCCGGCGGGTGGCACGGCCGGCGGCGCTGCGGGGCCGTGGCCACGTGGCCAGCGTGGCGGGAGGATGCGGCCGCCCCAGCCACTTGTCCCCTGTCCCCAGCTGCCCTCCGTGTGTGACGAGATCCACCTGGCCCTGCTTGGAGGGTAACGGGGGACCCTCCCCTCCCGGGGGGCACCCTGGCCCCCCGCGCCCCCTCTGCATCCCCAGCACCCACCCCTAACCCCCATCCCCACATCCCCGCGCAGGGACCGCATGGGCAAGGGTGACGTCCTGGGCATGGCCACCCTGCGCCTGTCCCAGGTGTCCTCAGCCGGCACAGAGCTGGAAGGTGAGGGAGGGTCCCTGGGACGGGCTGGGGGGATCCCAGTCCCCCAGCCCCACTGAGCACCCCCCGCCATGCACATTCCCAGGTGGAGGCTCCGGCTTCCTGCCATGCTTTGGGCCCAGCTTCCTCCCCTTGTACGGCAGCGTCGCCACCCGGCTGCTCCCTGCCTGGAGACCCAGCACCTCTGGAGTGCGTCATTCCTGTTGGGATACCAGGATGCAAAGATATGGGGATGCTGGGTTACCAGCCTGCTGGGATATTGGGATGCCAGGATGCTGGGTTGCCAGGATGCTGGGATTCCAGGATGCTAGGATGCAGGAATAGTGGGATACCAGGATGGCAGGACTCGGGAATGTGAGGATACTGGGATGCTGAGATGCTGGGTTACCAGGATGCTGGAATGCCAGGATATGGGGACACCAGGGAGCTGATATAGCAGGATACTGGGATGCCAGTACACAGGGGTGCCGGTATACTGGGATGCTGGGATGCCGGGATACAAGGATGCCGGGATGCCAGGAGGAGGCCGAGCCTCACACGCGGGCCGCTCTCTCGGCGCCTTGGCAGCCCGCGTGTGGCACCACGTACCGCGGCCGCGTCCTGCTGGAGCTCAGCACCAGCACGGAGCGCCCGGGCGAGCGGGAGCGCGACGCCGTGGCCCCCGAGGACGTGGCCCGCCTGGAGGTACCGGCGCCGGGGCCGCGCGGCGGCGACGTCCCCGGCGCCGCCGCATCCCGCCCGGCTCCCCGCAGCGCTTCCTGCGGCGCCGCACGTACGGGCTCTGCGCCGTGTTCGCCTCGGCCACCATGCTGCCGCGCTGGGACGAGCTGCTGCAGGTCGAGGTCAGCGTGGGCCACTACGGCAACCGCGCCGAGGGCTCGTGCAGGGCGGCCGCCTCGGCCACGCCGCACGCGCGGCCCGTCTACGACGGTGAGCGGCGCCGGGACCGTGGCGTCTGCCGGGGCGCGGGACCCCCGTGGTGCCCGCCGGGACGCGGGGAAAGGGACGGCCGCCGTGGGGAGGGGAAAGGGTGCTGGGAAAGGGGTGCTTGCTGGGGTGTGGGAAAAGGGTGTCCAGCGGGATGCAGGAAAAGGGGTGCTCTTGGGATAGAGGAAAAGGGATGCTCTGGGATGGAGGTAAAGGGATGCTCATTGGGGTATAGGAAAAGGGATGCTCATTGGGCTATAGGAAAAGGAATGCTCGTTGGGATAGAGGAAAAGGGATGCTCTTGGGATGGATGAAAAGGGATGCTCATTGGGATAGAGGCAAAGGAATGCTCGTTGGGATAGAGGAAAAGGGATGCTCATTGGGATAGAGGCAAAGGAATGCTCGTTGGGATAGAGGAAAAG